CTCTAGCGTAAAAAGCTGAGCTTTCCACCCACTGCCATGCAGCCCAGGAATAAGCTCTCTGTTGTAACGTGCTTGTTTACGTTCTACTTGGTCACTAAAGTTACTCTCGTCACCAACTGTCAACTCTACTAATATGACCACCTTTCCTTTATCAGACCAGACTACAATATCGGGACGTTCTGCAGTTCCGTAGATGTGCTGGGGGAACTGTGCTGGGAGGTCATCTTCGTCCCAGATAATCTGCCAATCTTGGTCTTTCTCAAAAGGGCTCTCTCTTTTCATCTTCGTCTTCGGTTTTTGGTAACAGCTGCTAGATGACTTGAAGCCTGTTATATGTCCAGTCCTGAACTTCAAGTTTAAAATCTTTGTTGTTGAACTTCTCGATTTGATCCAGTAGGGATTTCGCAATGACCCGCAGCACGTTGTCATGCCTCCAATTGTATCGTTTGTTGTTCAGCGAGAAGTTGCAAGCTACCACAATGTGCTTAATGTTGCAGTGTCTCCATCCGCAAAGTGGACAGTGTCCTGTGTCAGCATAGTTCCACAGGCTCATGTTTGCTGGAGTATTTGCAACGTCATGGGTTGCATTGAGGTGGAACTTAAGAAGAGCAGGGCTCATCTTGTAGTTGTAAATAAGGTTGTTCCAACCTAGGTCTAGCTGCATGGTGTTTTCCCATGTTAAGAATTGTCCTTGAACTCCCTTGTCTACCAGTGTCAACAGGATATCCTGCTCTGAGATGTGGGATACCAGTTCTTTCAGTTTTTCCTTTTCACTGGCTACACTCCTCTTGGATCCCAAGCCCATCCTGCCTTGCACTGTTACCCCTACTAACTCTCTGAAGTAGAGATCTCTTTCTCTAGCACTCAGCTCATTAGTGTAACCCCACCGACTGCTCCCTTCTTGTTTCTTGGCCCTGTGCTCGTAGACCTCCTTAACTTTAGGATCCTTGCTGTTCTTTAGAGAGTAACCTTTGGACACCTGAAGGAACTTGTATAAGTCCGATAGCCTTTTAAGATTCAATCCAAAGCAATCCTTATTTCTGTAAAGCACACTGACAGTAATTGTCTTTGTTACACCTAGCCATTTCTTCAGATACTTCGTACATATTGCTTCAAGATCTTTGACAAAACTAACCGGGAGATTGTAGATCATCAGGTCCCAGGAGAGCTTGCTGGTTAGGAGGTTGTTGTAAATCCAGCATTTCATCACTCCATTAAGGCCTGATCCGTCCACTGCCTGAAACAGTGTAATCAGTTTGTCTTCTATCAGCTTCTTGGTATCTTTGAGGCCCAGATCCACATATATCCAATGGCCAAGAAACTTCATCGGTGTATTTCCAATAAACTGGATTTGAGCTCCATCTATGAAAATTTCAGGGTCATAGGACACATACCTTCCATCTATAACCTTCATCCCCAGGGATACGCATTTACTCGGCTTGGCTTTCATTTTCCTTGACCAAGTAAGAAATCTTTCCATCACATCTATAAGCTTCTTCATCTTTTCCAGCCTGGGAGACATCAGAGTTAGGTCGTCAGCAAAAGCACGACTTGACGTGCTGCTAGAACTAAAAGACGGCTTGTAACCCAAGTCGCTTTGATTTTTCAGGAGATCCAATAGTAGGTTGAAAACTATTAAGAACAGTACAACCGATAGAGGGTCGCCCTGAAAAAGACCTAACATATAAAAGAACCAGTTTGTTTTCCAGTTCTTTGTCACCACTCTCACAATCAGCTCATCATAGTGCTTAAACATATATTCTATGAGCCAGTTTGGGAACTTATAATGTCTTAGAGCATATATTATCAAGTTGTGGGGAACCCGGCCGTAGGCGTTCATTAGGTCCACCCAAACTGCAAAGATCTGTCGTCTATTAGATTTGGCATCCTTCAACTCTTCCATCAGAGCCTGAGTATGCTCGAGGCAACCTGGTGTCTTACGCAGGAATCCTTTCTGGATAGACGTGTCTATGTAGCTATTACTGACCATATACTCTAGCATTCTGTCCGCTAGTAATCCCATCTGCAACTTCCCACTAGTGTTTGTTTTAGTGATGTTTCTGAACTTACTAGGGTCATCTAAATCCTCAGTTTTTGCTATCAGAATGGCTTCACCTACTCGCCATTGCAGCGGGACTCTCTGGCTTTCCCATAGAGAATCCAGCAATTTGAATACTGCTTTCGCCATTCTGGGACATCTCTTATATACCAGATATGGGACTCCATTCGGACCAGGTGATGATTTATTTCTACGGCTTTTCAGCTTCGTTTGAAACTCATCCCAGTCCAATCTCTCCATCTCAAATGCAGTCTTTGGTACTGGGGCATCGGGCAGTCCTTTAAGCTTTACATATAGAGCACTTCTCTCCTTATCACAGTACTCATTCTTAAAGAATCTGTCAGCCACTTCCTTGGAGAAATTAGGGGGTTTGTTCTTCTTATCCCCGTCAAGCAGTTTCCTTCCAAATTGAAATGGGTTTTGTTTAAACTGTGACTGTTCCTTTTTGCTCTCCTTGTTCTTCTTCTTCCTGAGCTCATTACGACGGCTTTTGTTGTGTAAGCGCACGAGTCTCAGGTACTCAGTCTTAGCTTGAGCCAACATATTCTGATCATTGCTTCTCCTAGCATCTTTCTTGTTTCTCTTAGCCTCTCTCTTGGCCAAGCGAATAACTTTTGTCTCCTTGTTCTCCTTTTCCTTCTGGGGAACACGAGGTTTCTTCGCTTCCTCTTCACCGAATCTACTTTCCAGATAGCTGTATACCAGCTTTTCTACCTTCTCCAGTCGGGACTCCACGTCCTCTGCTGCTACATTGTTCACCAAAACAATCAGGTCTTCATCAATTCCCTTCCATACTCCCTTCTCTGCTGCTGTTGGTAGTTTAAGTCTCTTTGTGACCTCCATTGTGATCATTTTAGGAAACTTCCGCCCTTGTGTCATGTGATCGACCTCCGCCCTCGCGACCTCCACCCTCGAGTCCAACCTTTTAGGAAACTTCCGCACTTGAGTCCTACGCCCTTGGGTCTTCCGTCCTCGAGACCACCGCCCTCGCGACTTCCGCCCTCGTGACTTCCGCCCTCGCGACCGATTCCCGAATTACTGTCACGTGACACATCCCGTGTTACTGATAAGGGGATACGCCCCCAACACCGTGAGAAATCTGCCCTTGCATCATACTGTGTTGTATTAAGGGGGGGGGGGGGGGGGTTTGTGAAACTTGGTTTCGAGACCAACAAACTAGGACCAGTGACCGAACTTTTGAGGGGGTCCCAGACCCCAACCGCCAAACGGTGCTCGCGGGGCAGCCACGCATATATTTGGTCCAAATTAGGCCCGATTCAGCCAAATACCCTGAACATGCCCAAAAACCAGATTTTAGGTGCTCTACTTGTAGCTAGTAGTCCCCTAAACTCGTATATGAATTTTAATCAAGATTGGCCAAAAAATGACTGAGTTATGAGCCAAAAATCATATGACCATATTTGGGCATACGCACCAAATTTGATCAATTTTGGCCCATAAATTGGTCAAATATCAATATTTTTGAATGAAACCAACTTTATATGGAAGGTAAGTCTATACTACACATTCTCTATGATTATCAGCTCAGTAACTAACTAACTGTGGATTCTGTGTTTAAATAATCGCAAAAAATGAACAAAACCGCCCATGATATCTCAGTTCGCGATATTTGAAAAACTGATTTCGCTCAAAACAATAGAACTCAATAGGATTTCAATATTTTTACATGAAATTTTCAGAATCAACGTAGAATCGCATTTCAACCTTAAGTTTTGTAGTGGAATTTTGAGTTAGGCCTTTAAAAAAATTTGGCGGCCAAATTCTGAACAATGCCAGGCAAATTTTGTCGGGGCATGTAATATCAATTTTACTTTCCTGCCAAATATGGCTCGAAAGTGTGATAATAATTATAATACTAATAGGACCTAAGTCCTAACAATGTTACCCTTTGTGTGTTTGTTGATTACTATTTATATTCGAGACACACTACTACCACGTACGAGAAGCTTTCAAGAAAATTGTTGATTATTGTGCAAGTTTCTTTTGTTATTGTCAATTTACTGGAGTTTAACCAAGCTTACTAATTAGCTGTTCCGTTTAAATTTGTCATCTGAAGTTAACTTCGGCAGTAACAAGGGTCTGGTCTCATTGCGTCACTAATAAATCTTTCACCATCTACATTTTACAATGCAACAACAAAAGTATCTTTTGTGCAAGTTTCTATTGTTTTTGTCAAATTACTTATTAAATTTACCTGAGCTTTGTTCAAATTCAATTTAAATGCATCATCTGAAGTCATCTTCGTCACTTTTTCTTGAGCTATGTTTTCACCTGCCTAGCCCTGGAAGTTAGCCATTGCTGCACTGTTCACTTGGGATCTGACTATAGTTTTTAATTTCGGGTCTGACTATACTTTATAATTTTGGTCAATTTAAATTTTCATCCGAGTAAATGATAATGATGACGTTTCGGCTGAATCACATAATGGCATTACTTTTTCCAGCTTTCTCGTTCATTTCTTGTGAGTTACAAAAAAATGAGAAAATGTTCCTTTTTTAAAGGCTTTTAAAATTCCTTCGAGCGTTCTGGTTCAAATCAATGTTTGTTTAAAATTATGTCCGTTCAATTTTTGCAGTCGAACTACGTTCGATAAGGTAATCATAATATTTCAATAATACTGTCATAGACTTAGAGAATAGAGATGGCAGCTTGAAATAAATGCCATGCATCAAGAAGGCCAAAAAGTCCATCCGACCCTAAATATAGCCACACGAACCCGGCTCTAACCTGTGACCAAATTAGGAAAATTTAAGGCAGATATCTTTAAAATAATTATTTACCAGATCTCTGCCTTAAATTTTTCTAATAAGTGCCGGACAGACTTTTTGGCCTGTCAACTTGAGGCCAGACGAATTAGGGTGGGTAAGGTATTCTATTATTCAATTCATGATCAAGTATATATTTATAAATATATGAGCAGGTTACACAAACATTGTCAAGATCGGAAATGGCTTACGACAAACCAAGATGCCGTCGGTGGACAGAAAAGTTCTTTAAAGCCTATTGCATTGCGATTGCAGTTATTTTAGGTGTCATGACTGCAAACCTGATTGAAAACCACAAATCGCAAGTTGGGAGAATAAAAGTTGTACCACTACCAGAGTCTGTTGAAATCAAAGGTAGATTAAAGGATAGAAGGATGAAACCACAAAGACCTGTGATAGGAATTCTTTCTCAAGGTATTATGCATAAGTTTGCAACTGCAAACCCAAAATCTCTGCATGGGTTTGGCGCAAAGTATGGAAACTCCTACATCCCCGCTTCTTACGCCAGATTTATACAGGCTTCAGGTATTTTCAATAACAACCTTTTTGGAGCGTGGGGAAGTATTCATATCCTCTATCTTATTTATATATAAATAATATGTATATATACATACTACTGGTCCAGATTGGGGCGAGTGTGTTTTGGACATTTTTAGTGAAATAATTATGAAATGCTCCAAATGTAATACTTTACTTTACATTTATGTTTATAAACTCAAAGCAGTTTATAAACTCAAAGCAGTAATCTTGATGCCGTAACATTAACTGTAGCACGAATGATTATCCTTATAACTTTATTAATTATTACTTCCTTAATTTCAGGCGCTACAGTTGTTCCGATTCCAATTGACCTCCCAGAAGATGATCTAAGGAATATTTTTGATTCCATAAATGGAATAGTCTTTCCTGGGGGAGCCAGAGTAAGTTGGGGTTTGAGAAAAATCAACCATCCCTGCATATCACGAAATAAAAATGCCGATATTGGCGATCTAGAGACTGAGAAAGCATGACCAGCTTCATTAAATGTTAGCCACTTCGCTATTAAATTTTTAAGTGGTTTATGAATAAATATGCAAGTTATAGTATTATTAATCATTAACCAAATCATAATAGCGCAATTGTATCTTCAGCCAATCCCTGACAGTGATTACTACAACGCTGCTGGTAAATTGATAAAATGGGCGATGGAAGCAAACGATAGTGGAGACTATTTTCCGATTTGGGGAATCTGTCTTGGGTTTCAGTTCATGACCAATTTCTTCTTAAATTCGAATCGGACGGTAGACCAGCACGAGGATCTACGTGGACATTGTAGAGCTTTTGATTTGTCGCAGCCATTCCGTCCAACCCAGGTAATTTTGCTCAGAATTCAATACCCAATTTTATTTGAAAACGTTTTGAATATAGTTTAACGTAGAATTCGTATATTAATCGCATATATATATATATATTATCATTCTGAAGATTTGCGGGGATTATTTCTTTGTTTATTATAGAGGTTGCAATTTTATTCGCATTCTCTTGTATATATACTTTTTGACTTTCGGGTAAATTTACTTTTTATATTATTACCATTGTAATTTGACTTTTGAATCGTTTAATCCGTTAATCCGTTTAATCCGTTTATAAACATACAAAGTTTTAGCTTTAGTATTAGTAGCCCAAGAGTTGAGTCTAATATGTTATATTTCAGAGCACAGAGAGCAGTAGACTGTTGGCGAATATAAGCAGACCGCTTTATGAAGATATACAAAAGGAACCTTCCGTTTATTTCTTTCATACTAAATGTTTCACGATTAAACAACTTCAACGCAGTGGGGTTCTGCAGGAGATTGATGTTGTGGGAAAAAGTTTCGACCTTGATGGTAAAGAGTATGCATCGATGACCGAACACAAAAAATATCCATTCTATGGCACACAATTCCACCCAGAGAAACTTATGTTTGAGTGGAATCCGATCATAACTATCTTTAGACCTCAAAGTGGAATTTTATTTTCTCAGACCATCCTTAACTTTTTTATGAGTGAAGTAGCTAAGAACAGGCATTCTTTCGAGAATCCTGCTGTAGTAAATAAAATTGACATAGAAAACTATCCTTACATCCACACTATGCTCATGCATAACACTCATTTACAAGCATACTATTTTCTTGATGACATCTCGTTTGGTAAACCTGTTATTGATTACAGATTGAATCAGCAAAAGTTTGATTTGCTGGTGCAACTAGGAAATTCGTCACTGACACAAATATTAGGAATAAATGCATAAAAGATATAGCAGAGATAAAGGTTGGCACCGCTCAGTAAGAAGCAAAGTCTTTAAAATATTCATTTTAGATAATAGTGAGTAGTGACTAATTTGGATTTTTTATACCGTGCACTTTCTGTTTCCCCCGAGAGGCCCGGTATAAAGATAGGTTTCACTGTATATTATGAACATTATATGAATCTGTATTGTGTTTAACACTTTAAAGTATCTTATGCATTATGTTAAAATATAACGACTGTTTTTAATAAATTTGACACTTTGTACTGCATCGAAACTTAAAACTTATATTTAAAGGTGATCCTCTCTTTTTATTTTGTCAGAACATTTTCATGTTGAATTGGTAGAGCATAGTGTTGGTTAAGCATAATTTGTATAGCATAATTTAAATCGGTAAAGCATGACTGCCACCAAGATGTAACCCTAACAAGGGTAATTTAAATTGGTATTGGTAAAACATAATTTAAATTCATAAGCATATTATTTAAATAAGTGTGGCATAATTCGTTTTAGGGAAGAAATTTCACCCGTAAAACAAATTTAAGTAGTATTATCACTTTATTATAATACTACTTATTATTTAAGTAGTGTTATTACTTTATTAAGTAGTGTATTATTACTAAATTAAAGTGTATTATTACTGCCCTTAAATTCCGTACGCGAAACTTGTTTTGTGCAATGTATGTATTTCCACGATATGATTTACGGACCAATTGTTTACAAAAACTTCCCTTGGTCAACTTTGTTTACACTTTTAAAGGTCTCTCTAAATTCGGTTATGTCTTTGGTTTGTAACTGTACCCGTAGCTTAATGAAACTATACCTTAGTTCAAAATTGTCATTTTTAATTGCGTAGACTTACTGCTTTTGTTTTTTGTGTGAATTAATGCATTATAATTCCGATGTAAAGAAAATGAAGTTTGTTCTGATAAGTTTTTCGTTTTTTATATCGTGCTGTTCGGCGGTTAAAATCGATGTTGTCGAACTTGAACCAGCTTATCGTCCTCACAATCGGATCGACATGAGAAAACGATTATGGTCAATGCATGGGAATCCGAATAGTAGCAATCTGTCCCTTCGTTCAAAAAGTGGATTAAACTGGAAGGAGCTTAAAGATCTTAAAGCACCCGCTGGAAATAAAGTGGAACGATCTGAAGGTGATAAAAGCCAAAATTACGGAGATTTAGCTTGGTCATTGGGAATGAAAGGCACAAAACCTATCAACAACGAATGGGAAGGCAACAAGAAAGTTAATTCCAAGAAGCCCAACTTGTTGGCGAATATGATCGACCGCGAAAGAGCCATCAATGGGAGATTAATTCGCCCTGCACCGTTTCTACGTGCTGGAAATTGATTCGAGCTGACTTGCTCATTGTATTTGTGGATTTCACTTTTCTAAGTACATCTTTTGAGTATATTTTTGGATTCAATGAATTTCATTATTTTACATTCTTGAAGGAATGCGAGTGATCATTTTGTCTTGCAAATAAACCACATAATTTTAGGTGGTGAATTAATTAACAGAACAAACTTAAACAAATCAGATAAATTGGGTTCAGAAGAAACTGTATAAGGAATTTTTAGCTTGTAAGTTTTGTACAAACATACGATCAAGTAATACTTTTAACAAAAAGAAAAGAAAATCAAGAGTTAAGCACAAACTGTGCAATATATACTGCACACATTATATTATTTTACAGAATCAAAAAAGAGTTTTTAACTTTTTCTCAGAACGATAATCTTTCAGGCGAAAGTTTCAAAGTAGAAATATAACATTAACATTTCTTTTCATACAACAACAAAAGACAACAACGGAAAATTTCGATTGACAGCAACTCGCCACGTTCACATATGTTAGCAGGTTTAGGACGAGAGCAGAAGAGCGACTCCAGCTACAGTCCACTTGGCCGGTTTCTCTTTGGTCTTCAAGTTGAAGGTCCACACGTATGTAGGACCTCTTTCCCTGGTTTTGTAAACCGGACAATCATACACATTCTTAGTGTCCTGTCTGTCAACAGTTACTGCCTTGATGAACATCACAGGCATGGCTGGAGTGAGCTCCTTTAGACGCGAGTCAGCAATCATACCTGGGTGAAAGTGTCAGTCAGATAATATTAAATAGTTACCGTGATTTTAAGAAAAACTAGATTCAAGAATTGTTCTAAAAATAACCAAAAAAATAATAAGTTAATAAGTCCTGGGTGAATTAACAAACCTGATTGAGAATCCCATCTGGCTCCTTCCATGAACAGCCCGTGAATGTAAGCTCCCTCCCTGGGTGCGCTGTTGAAATCATCCTTAGATTTCTTTGTAACATCAACACTCAGTACCATACGATCCAATGGCCACTCGTTCTTTCGGGCCGTGCTTTGTTGAATAGCTGCGAGAAGAGTGGGGTAAGACGAGTGTAAAACGAGGATATATTCTATTTTAAACAAATATTTTGTATTTTGGCATGAGTTCGAATTCACACTGCCATATCATGAAAGTGAAGCAGGAAAGATATAATGATAATTAAAATATAAAGGTGAAAATTGAACCAGACCAAGGTATATTGTTTGAGACACGAACCGGTTAAGAAGGATTGCGGGTTGAAGAATCCAGCGAGCCATACAACATTGGGCAGGGTAAAGTCGGTGACCCATCCCTCGAGCTCCTTGATTCTAAGCTGGAGATCAGCAAACCAAGCTCCGAGTGGTAGGAGAGAGGGGTAGGCTCGAGCTGTCCAGTTGTCAGGGCATCTGTCGAGGAACAAAGAGTTCATTGTAGCCTCCATCTCGTTTGATATAGTCAGCTCACCCTGGTTTGAATGGTTATGTAAATATACTGGAACAATATTGGAAACCTTGGATTGTAAACATTTGCATTTGTTCATTTGACTACAGAGTTAACTTTCGTCAAACTCGAATTTAATAGGTCGATAAAAATGAGGTATGTCAATACTCAATATGTAAAAATAACTGAACTACAACGTCAAAAAACCTTAAGACCCAGATCAAGTTCCTTCAGTGATCTCTTCATCTCTGAAGTAAGAGTGTTCATACGTTCACATTCCTGGAATGCCACAACAGTGTAGGGTGACCTGTCCTCGGTCCTTCCCAACATCTCCATAATGTTGAACTCCTCTGGTAGTCTCTCCGTAATCTCATCCAGCAGTCCTTTCACCTGAGTTAAGAGAATGTTTAGTTCTCAACTTATATTGACTGAATTGCGAATATTTATAAGTCCTCATCTTCCTCTTAATTATTAGAAACTTTCTAATAAACATATAAAAAACACCAACCTTCTCCTCCTTGGTCATACCGACCGCGCCACCACCAGCTCCATCACGAGGCTGCATCTCCAGGACAGTCCTGAACAAATGCTCTGACGTCATCGTCAAGAAACCAATCTCAGCGTTAGGATGCAGACCATACAGATAAGGACTCTCTGGGGGCAATTCATCGTCCAGGTAGTTATGGTAACCCTGGTAATCCATTGATCCCGGTATATTGAACCCTGAAGGATGATTTTTTCGTTATTTCTTGATATTATTGATAAATATGATCTTAATGTATAGGGGTCGTTCACATATTACGTAATCAGCCGAGGGGGAGGGGGGGGGGGGGGGTTCAAATGCTTACGGGGGGGGGGGGGGGGGGGGGGGTTTGGTTGTTGATTACGTAATCAAAATTTTAATTTTTTACCGATTTTCGAAATACCAATTGGACAGTTTTCGTTAATTATGTAATCAAAATTTGTATAAACCATTTGAGATATTACAAAAATCTTCTCAAGTCTCAGACAGCAATGAATAATGTGTATTTTTTGTATCTCTACATCAAAATTTAACTCAAAAATGGGGGGGGGGGGGGGGGGGGGGGTGTCTAATCTTGATTACGTAATATAGGAGGGGGGTTGGGTCTTGATAACGGGGGGGGGGGGGGGGGGGGTCAAACCTTGATTACGTAATATAGGGGGGGGGGGGGTTCGGTCTTGATTACGGTTGATTACGGAGGGGGGTGGGATACAAATTGCCAAAATATTGATTACGTAATATGTGAACGACCCCATACTTAAATCAAAACCAATTATTGGGCATTGCAAGTTTTTCGAAAATTTTTCCTGCATAAAAATGTTGCCTCTTGGTTCACAAGATCTGAAAAATAGTAAAATCAAAATAGAAGATGATAAAAACCTGGAGCGAGCAGTAAATCACCCTCCAACATATCTGGTTTCATGTATTCCTCCAGATAAGTCTTACACAGTCGTCTATCCCAATCATCAGTAATATGTCCACCGTACATAATCTCTCCGAACAGATATCTCAGATCAGTCCATGGTACTTTGGGGTTGCTTTCCAAGTAGTTGTACAGCACGTTTACACTTATAGTCAAATCTCCGATGTTGTAAGGATAAGACCTGTTCCAGCCTTGAGGGCCGAACTTTCGGCGTTCGCAGACCACGGCGTGGAAGTAGCACAGAGCAAACCAGAGACTCTTGAATTCGTTCTCTCTGGCACACATCTCGAGAGTATCCTGGGAGAACTGGTCCAGTGCCTTGTGAACGTTAGCCTTGATACCAGTTGGGGGTTCGTTGGTAATCTTGATAGAAGCTTCTAGAATACCTTGAGGGATGATATGAGAGGCTGCGGTGGAGGCAGGCTCAGCTGACATGTACACACGATATAACGGATCTGAGTCAATCACAGTTGATTCGAGCTTCTTTTCCAGTGTACTCAGCCACTTTTTGACGAGATGGATGTTCTGGAGGATAACCCATCCTCCGTTCTTACAGGCTATTTCCATAGCTTTCTCAGCCACGATCTCCTGGCCCTGGCCGAGGGAGACATTGTGTAGTTTACCGTTAGCGATAGTGATACCAAGTTTGTTACCAAGAATCTCAACATCCTTCAGAGGATCTACACCAGGAGATAAGATGAAGAATACAGGGGTCTCGGGGGAAGTTTCTTCGAATGATTTAGCAAACGGCACCGATCTGCTTTCGGTGTATTTTGCTCCCAGCTTTTCTTCAACGAACATTTCTACAGCATAAGTCATCCTGTCAGGCCTCAAAGCTCTCATCATACAAAGCTTCTGCAGGGATGATTTGTTCTTCCATTCCTGAGGGAACTTCTCTTTTTCTGGGATCTCGCTCTCCACGAACTTTTTCCACCTCTTAGCTGATCCCTCGATGTCACGATCAAGATTCTTGAATTCGTCCATTTGGCTGAGGGATTTTACAGCTCCCCAACTCAAGTTGTTCATGAAGTCAACTGGACTAATGACATTAGGAACACTTGGGAAACGAAGCAGGAAGTCCAACTCAACAATATCAATTTCTTTTCTAGTGAGAAGGATCTGGAAGGTCATCTGCGAAGTGAAGATGATCTTGTCAGCTTCGAACAGACCTCTGGTGGTGTACACAAAGACAGAGTAAGTTAAACTGTCGATCAGGTTCTCTACACGAATCTTCAGTTCCTCGGAAGCTTCTGCTCTGTCCATAGAATTGTGGAAAATAACATTGAAAGCTTTGAGGGAGAACTGGTAGAGGGGATTGATTTTGTTCAGATCGTTGAGGATGAAATAGAGAAGTGAGCCTCGAGCAGCAGCAGGACGGTAGAACTCTCTCGCCTCGTTGATAGCAATCTCGGTTTCTTTGGCTTGGATAACTTGAATCTCAATCTCATTCGCTGTCTTTTTGGTTTTCTCTAGATTCTCGACGAGTTCAGTGTCTCCCAAGAAGTTGCCTTCAGCAGCAGAAAGCCTAGACAGTAGATTGTCCTCAAGACCCTTTAGCGTGATCTTGAAATCGTTCTGTTGCTTTGTAAGCTGTGATTTAGTTGCCTCAAGATCAGGCCTCTCCTTTGATACGACCTCAGCCAGGAGCTGGTCCTCCAGACCATCCCTGGTCACAGTGAAGTTAATCAAAGTACACTGGGCTTGTAACTCTGGCTTGTAGTGAGGATTTGCAAGTTTAGTATGCAAAATAAGACGGAAGTTGGGACTGTAGTCGACGTCTTTGTCACCAATCTTGATGGCACGTCCTTTCTTGATGGTATTACGTCCAATGACAGGGTCCAGCACTGGATCCATATCTTCTTCCAAGTTCTCAATGAGAACACAGTCACCATTTGAAATGGCTCTTTCGATAGCCTCTAGATAACCTTTCTGTCCGAGTCTGATAACCTTCAGCTCATCGCCCTCTCGGTTTTTGATCCACTTGATGCCCTGAAGCTGAGGATCTACCATGAGGGGCCATCTTGTGGCGTTACAGAGAATAGTTGCGTTCTCTGTGGACATCCTGTCTGAGGGCAAACCCTCGTTATTCCAGGATGCAATGTCGGCATCGTCAATCAGAATCTGAAGAATGTCTGTTTCCTCGGTGATCGGAATTTTCACTTTCTGTTTTTGGAGATATGGAATGAAGCAATCGTTCATTAAATCATCTCGGTAACCCTTAGTGAAGTAACCTAAGTATGAAATAAATGCTGTTATCATCAGGACATCACCGGGTAGCTTGGAGGCCATAATCTTGAACTCTTCAACAGTATCCGCCCACCTGACGTTTTCAGATGCTAAACCTCCCACCAGACGATTGGCAAGAGAAATAGTCTTCTGGGTTGTTTCCGCTTCTTGTTGGCAACGAAGTTTGTCAGAAGTTGCTTTCTCAAATGATGCAGTCAGCTCAGCTAAATTGTCGTCTAGTTCTTTGATCTTTGCTTTGATAACAGTCAACTTTTCTTCAGCAGAAGCTAGATCTGTATTGGCTTGTGCCAAGGCCATCCTCTTAGGCTCGACATCACAGAACACTTTATAGAAAGTGATGATGTTCACGACCCAAGCACAAAGACCAGCAGCAGCTAGAGACTTCGATTTAACGAACTCAGGATCGAACTCAGGTTGTGCCAGGAAAGGTTCGATTGCTTTCAGGTTGCTCTCGTGGATGTTCTCCTTGTCATAGGTAATAAGTTGATCAAGGAACTGATCGACCTTTGCCATGAGAAGTTTACCTGCCTTCCAGCCCCTGTCTTTGGGGATTTTATTGGGAGGACTCAGTAGCACTAGCACACCAGCAACAACATTGATCACAGCTGGTGGAGGCTGACCGAACGATTTCAACTCAGTCAAGTTGTTTTTGTTGAGGGTATCCAGAGCAGATTGTGCAGCAAGAAGAGCAGGCTCAGCCTTAGCCAAATCCCGTTCACAATCAGAAGCCTTTATCGTGACTTCCTTGTTGATGCCGTCGACCTTGACCTCCTCGGCATCGGCGATTTCTTTTTCTTTGCTTACTTTCTCTGTCTCAACACCGACCTTCTGAATAAGCTTATCAGCATCTTCGTTCTTCTGCTTCAACTCAATTTCTTGAGAGGCAAGTTTAGCCTTGAGATCATCTACTTGGGAAGATGTACTTTGCAGCTTGAGGAGACCGTTCAACAAACGATCCATCTTTTGTTGAAGCTCGTTGTGTTTCAGTCCAAGAAGTTTTTTGTACAATTCAATCTGTTCAAGGAAACTCTTGGGAGTGGTGTAATTGTATCTCCTATCGTTGGCAAGGTACTGTTTAGATTTGTCGTTACAAGTCATCTGGACGTAAGCCATGAACTCAGCAACAGATGGCTTGTACTCTGGCTCCAACAAGTCCAGATCTTCAAGGAAGGTGGAACTGACAGAGACCAGAGCCTCTTCGGGCCACTCGTGGAACCAATCTATGTTAGTGCAGTTAATAACAGCGGGGAACATCCTGCCTCTGACACGAAGCGTGGATCCTACTGGGGAGAAGCAGAGGACTACTTTGAGTGTTGTTCTGATCCTGTCGATGAAGAAGGTCCAGCAGTTTTCTATTGAGTCCATGATACCTGCAGCCTTAACTTCGTTTCTTACACCGCTTATAATTTCTGCCATTTCATCCTCGGCAAAAAGATCAGGAATTTCACCGGTGGAGAGTAAATCATTGACCAAAACGAGGAATTTGTTGTCTGGAACCTGACTGTCAGTCATGAGGAACATAGTTGGTACATTCTTCACACCAGTCTTCATGTACAATCCAGCGATATCCAACTTGAGGTCAGCCAAACCATATCCCTTTCGTAGCGCGATCTGGAAGACCTCCAGATTGCTGATGAAAGCAGCGAGTCGAGCTAAAGACTGTTTACCAGAACCTCCGACACCAACAAGCAAAGCGTTACCACGAGGACTCTCTAGAATTCTGTTGATTCTGCAGACATGCTCCATAGCATCTCTGAAGAGTACGAGGTTCATCATGGAGTTCATCTCATTGTAATTCTCGAGCGCTTCCACGAGAATATTGTTGAGTACAGTGTATGATGCTACTGGGGCGTATTTCACTTCACCAATACCCAGGGAGAAATGTGTGTAGATATTGACTTCCGGTTGGAACACAGACTCGTCGACATCTTCGAAGTTCTTCTTACATACGTCTATGATGAGTTTGTCGTATGTTTCTACGTCCTTTTGATCGATCAGTTTATCTCGGTATACTCTGGAAGCTTCGTGCATCCACAGTTGGATAACATCAGGGGCAGTCTTAGTGACCTCTGGCTGAGAGTACAGGATACCCTGGTAGATGTTACTCAAATCTCTCAAGTTGAAGATGTAATGGAACTTGATTGCAGTGGGCAGGAAGGTTGAGTTAACCTTGGAGTGGAGCTGTATCGAGGCTTGAATCAGTTTGTCTACGGTACGTTTTACAGCTTGAGGGAATTTGTTGAGTTCCAGATGACCGGTGAGAATGAGCGAGTAAATGGTTGTCTGAGCCTCTTGTCCAGGGAAACTGACGGCAAAGACACAGAAATGACGTTGGAGACGAGGGTTGATGGTGAAGGATCCAGCAGTAGGGTTCATGCAAGACACGTATTGGGTGTTGTGAATATCTTTCAGGGTCATCTTAGCTCTGTCGTACCAATGCATGTAATCAATGTGTTGTCGAATGAGTGTGTGTGGCTCGACAGTGCCGTATGTATCAACCTCTGGCATGTTCATGTCATCAATGAAGTAGATAAGCTTCTTAGATCCGGGAGGGCCGAAGTTCCTACCAGCCTTCTTCTCGAGTGGTTTCTCGAGGACACCCTGCAACATAGCAGAGGTGGTGTAGTTGTTAAATGGAACCAGGGTAACGGTGTAGTCGTCTCCCAGTTCTCCCATCAACTTGTTCATGAGGACAGTTTTACCGGTACCAGCACTACCCACCAACATCACAGGTCGTTGCCTCTTCATCAGTAGATCTACGAAGAAGCCAAGACGATGAGTCTCAGACGTGGCTACAAGTGTTGCCTGTAGAGGTAGTTCAGGGTCGTAGTTGAACTTGGGAACTGCTTCGGCCCAAGGAATGAATTTCTTGGAGTCAGCACAGATGAAGTAGTCAAATACGGTTCCTTGAGATGGGAATTTAATCGTTTTGAATTCGCTGGACCACCATTTGCTGAATTCTGATCGGTAATCCACCAACTGAAAGTATAAAATTGATTAAAGATCAAAATATAAAACCAGTACTGTATCATCATCAATAAACAACGAATCGTTCAAAAAAATGTTCGAGCGATTTCCTCTTTTAAAATCACTGATAAATTGTATCCAAGATCATAATGATATTTATCTTACCTGATCCTGGAACATAGCACCACCAAAGGCCCAAACGGCAGCAAACACAAAGTACAGCTCGTACAGTTCCTTGTTGCAATCTGGAGGTGTGTTATCGGGTACTAGTAATCCTTCCAGGAGGTAGCACAACATCTTTATCATAGATATGTCCACCAGTGGTGTGATCTTCTTGAATCTGAAAGAGCACAATTGATATTTTAAAATATTTTAAATCTTGAAAGTTTCCTTTAAATGATCTTTCTCGAAGCATAGTGAATATTACTTTCGATTTCGATTTCTTAGGCTTACGAGACAGAAGCGATTAGCAGTAATGAATAATGATTGAGGTGGAACATTTTTAGAAAAATCACGTGGTGTCTGAGAATTTCTCTATGTAACTGACAAAACTGTTTCATTTTACCTCGATTTGAGAGTTTCCAGACAAGTTGGTACATATTTCTCGAACAAGATGATAAGATTGGCTTTTTCTGACTGAACCTCTCGAGTATCAATCCATGAGGTAACGAAAGGATTCCATCCCAAATCAGCCTGGTTGATGTAGAGAATACCAGCCCTGGATACAGTAGCCGGGGTGGCAGCCTTAAGATGACCGATCTCAAATACCAATCTCATAGTGGGTGTTAGGGGTACTCGTTCGTTGGAAGCTAGGGTCAGGACTTTGTTGTCGTCCATCACAGTATTCAGGGATTCAATCCACATAGGATCAATATCTCCGTCCAGGACAATCCATTTGGGTCCGTCGTGTGTGATGTTACTCTGATCTCTCATGATGCTCGAGAACAATCCGTCCTTCCACTCTCTGGTTGAGGGGTTGATAAAACCGAACAACTCATCGTTCGTCACCGCTTTCGGGTTCAAATCAGACCAAACAGGTTTTCGTTTGAGGTTCTGGTATGTTCGGAACAGGACCTTGCAGAGCTGGGTTTTACCTGTACCGGCGTTACCGATAACGAACACGGAATGTCGGACAGCTAGCAACTCTTCAAATTGTACAACCTGTAAAGTTAAGAGTGGATATTAGCATATCTGGTATTGAAGGATTAAGAGCGAGAAATTACGTAAGAATTTTGTCCGCCTCATTTAATACGAGCTTTCTATATTAATGATTTATCACAGGAAAAAGATTTGCTCTGCTGAAATTTTAGATCATATCGATTTTAAAGAAAAGTGTGTCAATCACTGATTCTATTCATACCATAACAAATAAAATGAATCACATAAAAACACGCAGGTACAACTTTACCTTGAGGATGAACTGATCCTCGGGCTGTAACTTCAGATCAAGAGCGGCCCTCTTTATCGCCGCCTCATTGTCCAAATCTCTCTTCCTGGGTACTTCCATAGACGGGAACAGATCACCAATAAGACCCGTGAACACAGGCATATCATCCGTAATAATCTTAGGAACGTTGAAATCTCTGAGAGCTCTCATCAGTACTTCAGTTTCCGGTCTTCCTCTGTCGGAACGTTTTAGTGCACCAGCAACAACAAGCACTGACTTGATGGCACGCAACCCCCAATCGTAGTGATCCTGTATAAGGACGGTTACTAAAGGCGTTTCTTAAGTGATTTTAAAAGGTTAACTACAGAATTCTACTTGAAGTATAAGAAGAGAAATAGTAAGATACGCGTACCGTGGGTGGTCCAGTTTAATGGTATATTAAATATACCATCAAAGTGGAATTAAAATAAATATTGAACTGAAGTATGAACTTCAGTCCAATATTTATTTCAATTCCACTTTGATGTTCTGCGTCAATGCATATAATGAACACCATCGAAGCTGCGCTTTAGAAATCGTCTTTGTTTTATTTGTGATATATTTTGTGAACCCTTACCTGTTTAGAAAGCAATTCTCGGCACAGCACGTATAGAGTGATGAACTTTCTGGCCAAGAGTCGAGCATCAATGAAACCTTCAGACATCAACATAATCTCGCAAATCATACCGAAATCAGGGACAACCATAGCACACGGCCTGTAATCAATTATTGTTAGTTTTAACAAATAAAATCAAATTCAATACGAATAGAGTCTTGTCATTCAGCTTATATCAAGATAAGGAATTTCCTTCCACACGCGGTGTAAACACTCCGTGATCCATTATATCGTATTAAAATAGAATTTAATAAAAACTAAATAATTAATAGAATGATATAAAACTAAATGTCAAAATATAATTAGGTAAATCTAAATAAATAGAACTTCACACACCTGAAGAGAGCCTTGAGATTCTCAGGCAATTCAGTTCTGCCAGCGTAACCAGGGTTCATAGTAATGAAGATTCCTACTGTGGGCAGCAGACTGATCTCCTCGCCCTGGAAGATAAACCTCTCCAGCTTATCCCTGATAGCATCCTGGATACACTTAACCTGGACTGCTACCACTGATAGCACTTCAATTGAGATCCTGTTGAACTCGTCGAAACAACCCCAGGCCCCTGAAGAGATGATATTATGTAATGTAAAATGTTAAGTGAAAATAAATGGGAACAAATAACAGTAAAATCTTTTAAAAATTATAAAAATTATTATTAATTATAAAATTATTAGTTATAACTATTGGAATTAACTTCAGTTTTTAATAAGGGCATGACGTTCTTTCTCCTATAGGCAATGCAATATTTCCCTTGTTCAAGTAATATATATATTTCTCATTCCATTCTTCCTCTCATAATTAGATATTTATGATATTATATTAAGTTGTTAAATACTCGGTTAGGCTGTATGTTTAAGTGACTAATCAATATCACTAAAATTCACGATTAATAATAAACTGATCGAATAATAATATACTGATCGTAGACAGAAATATATTTATTGCCTTCGCACGTGATCTAAATTACAATAATTCCACAATAAATTGACAACCAGAACGTTAAATTGAGTTTTTAGTTGATGCCAGTCATCTATATTATATTTTAAACTTGACGAAATTTCCCCGGCAACGGGGACATAGAAGAAAAAACACCGAAAATCGACCTCAAAATGACCCTCTGGTGAAATCAAACCCAGCTCGCAAATGGAGTTGAAACCTCGCCATTTTTAGCAGGGTTGTAGAAAAAGGATAGGAATAGGCTATAGCATTCTTAGAATTTTGATTTAGGCTTTAGATTTTTTATAATTAACGTCGGAAGTGAGGTAAAATAACCGTTAGAATAATGTCGTTATTTTAGCAAAGGTTTACTGCGCTGTTGCGTAGCAACGTTAAAATGCACGTGCGCGAGCAAAAACATCTTAACTACGCGCGTTGTTATGCTGTATGCTACGTCATAATTTCAAATTCAAAACTAGCTCACATTTACGCTCACGCTATGACTTATATTCATAACTTTGGTTGTGATTGGTATTTTTTGATGCGGTAAAAAGTATCGTTTTGGGAATCCGAATACTAACAACGCTGTCGCCATTGTTAGATAAATTCCATTATGTCTACAGTATAACAGAGCTATATGATGAAGAGAAATTAAAACATAACTGATTTTTAAAATTTCCTCGAACAAAGCTTTGTCAAGAACACACGATCCTAAGGATATCTTGGTGCTGTCAAGTCGGGGCAATATTGCAAAGAATATCAAATGAGACGATGAGGGACCTGACATTTACCGAAATGATTCAAATGTGTAATTCATATATTTTCAGTGAAGCAGGGTTCGGGAACTAAAGCATATTTGTTGGATTGTTTGACCATTGACTAGCGATGACCGATAAATACCTATATATATTTATAACTTTGGTTGTGATTGAAATTTTTTGATGCGGTAAAAAGTATTGTTTTGGGGCTATATGATGAAGAGAAATTAAAACATAACTGATGCTTAAAATTTCCTCGAACAAAGCTTTCGACTAGCGGCGGGTTTCTAGTAATTTATAATAATGAGGTGGTTGTCTGGTCATTTATTATCAAGCGTGCTTGTCTGGTACTTTGTTTGAATAATGAAACATTTGCATTTTCATCATGTTCACCCAAAGCCCCAAAATGAACACCCACGCACAGTGCGCGTGAGTAACTCTTATATTACTCTACCAATCAGTGGGTATTTTGTTTGTGATCAGAAACATGAAATTTGATGCACTTTGCTCTCTTAAAGTACTGTAACCGATTCCTCCACGTTCAATGTTGGACTAACCAACTAATTCACGAATCTTGATCAAGGTATTTGACAAAATATGCCCATAAAATCGCATGATGAGCAACTTTATAAATGGCCGGACTATTAAAGTTACCAAAAGTAACCCAATATCCGATTGTATCTGTAGTAACCTAAATGGCCTACCATCTGCTCTACTAATAGTAATATAGTATAAGATTCTCTAAAACTAACCAGATTGAGATAGACCCTTGTAGATGTTACCAATAGACTTGTAGTCCATCTGTTCGGAGCAGTTGAACACGTACACCATGATGCCCAGAGCTCTGCCCAGATCCTTGGTGGTTTCCGTCTTTCCGGTTCCAGCAGGTCCGGCAGGGGCTCCGGACATAGTCAAATGGAGAGACTGAGTCAGAGTGATGTAACACCTAGGTGCGAGGGTAAACTTAAGCGGGGAGTCAAAATACTATGAAAATTATACTAATACGTAACAAAAGTCGGATGCATACTTTATGATCAGGAAACGAGCTCAGTCGCTGAAAATCTTACTTTATTTTGGTTTATTCTTCGGAAGCTAAAGCAGAGCTTTTGCCGACTAAATCAAAATAACAAAATCCAGATTGAGGTACCACAAGAATTAATAACCAAGCTGAAGCTAGTTACCTATCTGTTAGAGGTGTGATGACCAGACGAGCAGTGTTACCCAGGTATTCGTTAGAGTATCTGAAGATAGCATCACAGATATCCACGAAGCACGTGTTCTGTTTCTCGTCCCATCTGTGGAGGAATTTGTGTTATTTCCAGGTTGTTGAAAGTTTAGAGAAGTTTCAACCAGTTAACAGATGATGATCCCTAAAATCGTTTAGAAGGTTATTCGTGAGGAATATTGACAGATAAAACTAAATAAGCACATGGTATATATGAGTATGTGTTTATTGTATAGGATAAAATGCTAAATCTAATGCTCCACTAACCACTTCCCCGATATTGGCGATATTGGCAGATGACCAGTACCACATGATTCGTCAAATAGCAATTTGAATTAAACTATCAAGTTAGGGATGATTTAGGGATGAATTTGCAATTTGAAGCTGATAGTTCCGAGTAACAGTTCAACTGCAACGCTTTACTGCTTTATATCTCTGCCACCCAAAATAACGCGGTATCTCAGTTACTTCATTAACCGTACTACATTATAAGAGGGCCAGAGAAATGCGCTCAGATTTTAACCGAACACAGTTTGCTCAATGTTCAGGTACAAAACTGGCGCGCGAAATCGTACACTGTACAGTTTACACCAAAGCTTTTACAGATTTAAAAAAGTGTTTTCAAGTTTTACCTGTGTTTGATCTGACTGAGCCAAGCGAACTCCTGAGCGTTCTCCGCCTTCATTGTGATGAGTTTAGCCACCACATCTCTGTTGTGCACGTCGATAGTACAGACGGTACAGATCTTCTGACGGTCACCCTTGTTCAGGTCACCAATAAGCAGGTTGATCAGGGTAATCAGCTGTGAAGCTTGTTTCTTGTTGTAATCCTTTAGAGCGTTCTCGTAACCTTCTTCTAGACGACCAAATGCTATTTTTACCTGACCATTTGAACATTTTATAGCAATGTTATGTGCGCACTTAATTTGTACACTGTACACTGTACACTGTTCACGCCATGTGTACAATTTGCAATATTGAGATCGGAATATCTACATATTATAGAGATTTTTATAAGATACTTATAAGATATCTTTGTCTCAAAAGCTAATTGGAACATCCACGCTGAGGATAGAATTCATATCAACAGAGATCTATGTATTTTATGAGAGATAACAATCAAGTTTATTAAGATGAAGCTTCCATAAGTATCTCATAATCCAGTTAAATTGTGGTTGACTCTGATTGCTATATCACATTAGATATAATTGTAAAGTAGCATTAGTTCGAGGCTACTTTTGGGAGGACGTTTTACCACGCCTCCGCAAGCAATCTTTCTTACATCACATTGATATTGCGCAGATGATCTGATTACACGATCATTCTGTCAAGTCTTTATAGAATTCAGCAAGGTCAAACAGGTAGTTTGCTAAGGTATCACGTGTCTGAATTATGTAGACACGTACAGTGTACACAGTTCGATATTGAATTAAATCTAGTCCACTTTGAATTATACACAAAGCATGTCAGTCTTGATTAAGACAGATTGCCTGACTTGATTAAATTAAATTAAAATATATATATTGAAGACAATACTACAAGATTGTTCGTACACATGACATCCACAGTGTGGATGTGTGGATTCCACACGTCAACCAGATTGAGATTGACAACCATAAAGACTTCGAATTTAATAAATATCGCATTAAGTTGCAGGCTGAAAGTCAGCGTCAGTCACTTTCGGCACATTAAAGGATGGGGGTACTCTATATATATATATATTCTAGCCTCATACAGTTTTATCCTTCCACGATCTGTTCATTTTTGTCATGTTCAAAAGTGTTCATGTTAGTTATTAAATAGTTCACATATTGTAACAAACCTCAGTGGTCCACCAGATCTGGTTGCCAGCCAGTGCCACCTGGGCAGCATGGTCGAACAGCCACAAATCTCTGGCTTTCTCCTCGTAGGTAACCACACCGTCCGCAACATTGCTGTTGATGGTATCTTGAGCCATTGTCATGATCTTGTGCAACCAGGTTTCCACCGGACCAGTACACCAGACAGGCTCCTTGAATTCCACATACTCTCCTTCTCCGGAGTACATTCCAAGAGCCTCCTTCGTTTCTTCAGGTTCTTCTCCATCTTTTCCTTCCTCTTCCTGATTTTATTTCATCATGAAATCATGTCATAGATATTGCTCGTTGATTCTTCATGAATACGTTTTAAAATGGGAGACATAATTTCTAATTAAAGATTTGTATATTATATAGTTATAGATGTATTACCATTTTGAACATGAGTCTGTGCAAGTTATCAAACAGTTTGGAGAGATGTCTAGCAACAAGGAGAGGCTGGTTTCCTTTGGACAGGATGTCCAGGAGATCGGCAGATGATACGAAGTAGAATCGGGGGAAAGCAAGACGCTTGGTCTCCAAGTATTCTGCCAGGGCTTTCTCGCACAGAGCCAAACGGTCCTGAGAATGGTTTGAATTAAGCGGAGATTATAGTTCTGTAGTTAAGATTTGACTTCTGATGATTCGTCAAACTAAATTTGGAGTTTAACCTGATTATTTGTGTGATATTTAAAATCTGACATGAACCACTAGCTACCTGAATGTCTTCTAATAGAGCAAAGAGTCCCTTCTTGTTTGTTGCTTCAATCACGTTGGGAGTCTTAACTGCTGCCTCCATCAACTCCTTAAAATCACTATCAATCCCATCAAATCTCAGAGAATCTTCAGGGAGCTGTTTCCTGATATCTTCAGATCCAATGAAGATGGATTCAAGATGTGACCATGTTCGCTGCACCTCAAACCAGATCTGGATAACAGAGTCGGCTGTGGAGAGTTTAGTTTGCCAGGATGAAACTTCCTCCAAGAAGTAAGCGATGTACTTGCTGGTCATCAAGTTTTGCAGTTGAACCTGTGTGAGAATTAAAATTATATTTCAGACTTGATAAAAATCATAATATAGCCAAAAATATTACTATAAGTATATCAGCAAATAAATACCAGGAAATAATTAACTTTACTCGCTAATAAATTAACTGACCTGGTTGTCCTCAAGGGTCTCAATAAGTTCCTCGGACGACCTCAGGAGCGGTGTCTTTGTTCTCAGATGTTCGTCATGTTCGAACTCCATGACGCTCCATGTAGCGTCCAACTCTTTCAGTACCTTCTCCATGTTCAGCTCCTTGGTGGCCTTGTCGACAATGTTCCTGACTTCATCCTCAAACTCGTGGAGGTTCAGAGCAAGAAGATCGTTAAGAGTCGTTTTGTCGTCCATGACAAATCGGACCTGTAGAGCCGGTACATTAGTGACTTGGTATACTTTGTTTTGATCTTTACAATAGCTGATAGCTACCGTGTGATGCTAAATTCCTTTGAAATTTGTCTCCCTACATTTTATTTTAATATCCATATCGCATAAATTCTAGGAATAAGTCAGCAATTTAAAAGGAATGAAGATCGTTCACTGAGTGATCAATTTCAGAGCATCACATCGTATCAAGGGTCACTTAAGGGGGCATACCCCAAATCTGTCCAGACCTAATGACCTCATAGGCAGTTCAGGGAGCTTCTAGCTCACCGTTTCCACACTGAAAAAAAAAAATTTGAGAATTCCCATTTTTGTAATCGAGCATTTCCTGGTTAAGAGTGCAATTTTCGGAAAAAATTATTTTGTGGTTGAGACGCTATAAGTTAATCATTTCTTGCGGTATCGGGTTGAAATTTTGCTCGCCGTTTATTCACATCTATGTCAAGGTGTGTGTAAAATCTTGATATCGTATCTAAAAAGGCTGGTGTGTTATGAATTTTTAAAGTCAAAAAGCTAAAATTGTCCTTTTCAGGCTTATTTTACCAAAAAGTCAGTCAGGGAAGATCGGATTATTTGATGCTTGACATCAAATTGTTCTCTGAATTCTGGCGCAGTTTTTGATGCCCTCAAAAATGTTTTTACTCATTCACCTTCTGATCTATTGGACCTCAAAGCCAAACAACAAATTTAGGCACATTTTTCGTTTTTAATATTTACTGATTTTTCTAAAATTTTGATAGGAATGTGCTAGTGACTTTTTGAAGGGTGCAAAATAACTGCAACTAGCACATTTATATATGAGTTATGAACAACAAAACACCCTAGAATGCTTCCCTTTGAAGTTATGGGAGAAAATGTGATTTTTTATCTGCAAAGCCAAAAAATCACATTTTCTCCCATAACTTCAAAGGGAAGCATTTTAGGGTGTTTTGTTGTTCATAACTCATATATAAATGTGCTAGTTGCGGTTATTTTGCACCCTTCAAAAAGTCACTAGCACATTCCTATCAAAATTTTAGAAAAATCAGTAAATATTAAAAACGAAAAATGTGCCTAAATTTGTTGTTTGGCTTTGAGGTCCAATAGATCAGAAGGTGAATGAGTAAAAACATTTTTGAGGGCATCAAAAACTGCGCCAGAATTCAGAGAACAATTTGATGTCAAGCATCAAATAATCCGATCTTCCCTGACTGACTTTTTGGTAAAATAAGCCTGAAAAGGACAATTTTAGCTTTTTGACTTTAAAAATTCATAACACACCAGCCTTTTTAGATACGATATCAAGACTTTACACACACCTTGACATAGATGTGAATAAACGGCGAGCAAAATTTCAACCCGATACCGCAAGAAATGATTAACTTATAGCGTCTCAACCACAAAATAATTTTTTCCGAAAATTGCACTCTTAACCAGGAAATGCTCGATTACAAAAATGGGTATTCTCAAAATAATTTTTTTTGTGTGGAAACGGTGCGCTAGAAGGTCACTGAACTGCCTATGAGGTCATTTGGTCTGGACGGCACAAACCACTGTTTTGGGGTATGCCCCCTTAAAGCAAGCTGGTTCTCGTAGATAACACGTGACGAAGTTATATATCGCGTGACAGAAACTCCAACATACCTTAGTGGTCTGCATAAGCTGCAGCCAATGCCTCTCTCGGATAGCAGGGTTCTGCAACTCAGTCACTGCTCTCAGAGATGTCACCATGTTCTTCACGTTGCTCTCTAGACCGCTGAAATGGGAGATACGTTTAGCTTCATGTGACCAACGAACTTATTCGACGTATTAAATACTAAGATGATAGTCCGGTGGCTACTAAGACTACCCACGCACGTCGATACTTTGCTACAGTTTTCATCAACTGGCTACTTAAATTAAAGCAGACCCATTTATAAATTTTATCATCCAGACGCACATGATTTTGTGGATTATATCGTCTAAATATAATGTTTGATATCTAACTGAATGTTGATTCACATGATCAAAGATCAGATTTTAGAGGAAGTATTTAGATATACCGACAATTTCATAAGTCATTATTAGCCTCAGACGAAATCCATCTAAGTGTTGGGCGAAATCTGTCAAACTCTCAAACTTTGAAGCTACTGTCTCAGGCAGTATTTGAAAACTTAGTACTAAGATCATATCATTATGATTTATGTCTCTAAAATTTAGAAATGATACCACTGTCAGTGCCCCGGAGTTCTAGATATAAACTTCTGTTTCTCTAGTTATTGATACTTTCTCGAAATTTGCACCATGTCAGTCCCCATCAAAAGACGTGAACCGGCACGATTACCGAGTCACGTGACTTCTATACCCCATACACGTGGCCCTTGTAGGCCATTCTCAATATGGTCATGTGACTGTGGGCGTGTCACCAGTTACTCTATGCGTCCGAGTATGCCTATCAGACAGAACCCGCTAAATCTATATACTTTCGTTCAGCTTCTATATGTATTTATTTTATATTTTGTTCGGGCATCATATATTTATAAGCTATACTATACGGAACGTTAGAAAACTAACGTGTTCCATGAAAATTAATAGTGTTCAAGAATAGGGTTTCTATATTTATTCCCTCAAATAATAGGCAATAATGATTGCCTATTATTTGAGGCAATACAAAGCTTAGCTTCAAAAAAGCCATTATAGAGGGTAAGAAATCGAGATAAAAAATGAATATACCATCTATTACATTTGTTAAGTTATGTTTCCAAGATGAGGATTGCCCATCGGGGTTTTTATTTTGCATTAAATGATTATTTCTATGATGTATACAATGAATTAGTTCATTAGAGACACTCCCCTTACGCGGGGCTTTTATTCTATTGTTTCATATACCAGGCAGGCGCAGGATAGTGACCGACTTTGCGTCCACCCATCCAATGAGTTGGAACAAGTTATATGTTCCTGTGCGGCGCTCAGCCTGTCATTCTGCCATATCTTCAATCGGTGTGTTTATTAACATTTAGCCTGGAGTACCTAAGCTGGGTTCAGGTAAGTTATTTGAAACGCTGTTGATCGAGCAATTGAGCGGCAAAAGAAATTCGGGCGCATTTCTTGTTGTAGAAGAAATGTCTTCTTGTAGAAGACATTTGAATCTTCGCGTTAGCTATCAAAATTTATATGAATTATATTAGGAAGTGCCTTTCACTGTTAATAAAATAAAATATTACACGAACAGCTGTCATGAATTGCTGTCATGCCTTTTTCCTAGAGCCAATCCTCGTTCAACGTTCAACCCACGTGATAGAATGCTTTAAATTCTCGGGGAAACGACATTGAATAAGACTATTTTACTGTGTAACTCCTTGGCGATTTGGCAACGGTTGGTGAAAGGTATTTATTTAATGACAAAATTGTATATTAATATAATAAACATAACGAACTCCTCTCAATCAAGCCTTATATTGAGTGTGTAATACTGACGTACACGTGATAATGATATCTCATTAATTTTAGGAACGCAATGTGAATGATTTTAGGTTCGCATTAGGTTGTCGTGCGTGACATTTAGTTGTTGTTGCAGTTATTGCGTGGATTTCGTCGGCTGGAAAATCAATCAAAGATTACTCTCAGGGACCTTAATTATATTCCAAGAAATGTAAAAATGTCCCTATTTTGGGACCTGCGTAAAAAGGTCCCTATTTTGGGATATATTTTTCTTGAGTCTCAGCATATTTGAGTCAGCTATAATTATTCTTTGTCCGTAATTTTGTCACATTCATGACACCTGTCGATCAGGATTCAGGGTATTTGGACCGAATCCCTAACGCTCAATAACCACCAGTAGGGATATGGTTTGTGTTAAAGATAACCTTAAGGATTCGGTCCGCCAACCGTCTAGCTAGCCGAGCACTGGGAATGGAATTTAAGGCGAGATTGAAGTAAGACTGTTCTTCAATTAGTTTGTTTAAACCTTGCCATTCCATCATTTATAGGAAGTAAGTCATTGAATTCTCAATTGACAGTACAGGAAAGAATAAAGTTTCTTCAACCTTAAAAACTAAATTGTTCTTCTGGCAAAGAGTGTTGTCTCTTGTCTAACCTCATCACACGGCCTGGTCTGTCTATTTGTGATAATACCTATCGACTAATAAAAGGATCATATCTCCCGGTCAGCCATATCACAAATAGATACTTATTAAGCGTCAGCTCATGACCTGCGATAAGACCTTGACAATAGGCTCAGTAGATGTTTATTGTCTGAGAACCACATACGCGTCGGCGAGGGTATATTTTATAAATTACATGTTGCGATTACGACTAATTTAAAGGGGAGACGAAGTTATGATTACCATTCTTCTAAATTAAGTATTCCTAAACCATTTGGCCTTCATTTTTCAAGTTTTAATACCGAACTTCAATAGCGCTTGTTTCCGTTAAATTAATCAATATTTAAATTCTGAGACTAAACGGTTGCACATAGTTTGTCGGCCCACTTCTAGCTAACCAATTTTCCCAATAAATACAAGACCTAAATTATATTGGCTGTGTCAGTATTATACCTATATTTAAATGTCCACAGGAACATATTAAGAAGCAGTAAACAGGTAACACTAGTGGGATGCGTTGTAAAAACTAGTAGGCTGCGTGGCAAAAGCAGCTTCCAGACGAAACCTTTTACTGAACCCTTGTTTTTAGTAAGTCTTATTCTAATCGGGTTCTCGTCTCACGTGGCGTATTTACCTGTAGACATCCCAGGCACGCATTTCTTTGTCCATTCCTCTGATTTCTTTCACGAATTTTTTACATTCCACTTCCATAGTTTCGACATCGATCTCGTCCCACAAGGTGGTCTTCCAGTCGTCGAAACAGCTCGAAACAAGCTCTGTCATGTCCCAACATGTCTGAAAACATGTGGTTATGCAGCAAATATTGCAAAATATTGCAAAATATTGCAAAATATTGCAGATATTGTTATTTCTAGATGATAGGTTAAATAGGTTTTACTGAGTGGGTGGAGAAATAATAGGAAATACAGAGATCTTGTAAAAATGACTACTAGGCGAATGAGGGATTTTTAGTTTGCTCACCTTTGCAATCAGATACCGATACAATATTTTTTGTTGTTGCTAAAACGCTAATATATCTACAAACTTTTCTCTGGCTTTACAGCTTGCCGCTATTGTTGCACATTCCTATCAATTTCATTCCTTAGAACTTGATATAAATAAAGATTTCTGAAGCTTCGCTTAGTAAGTCACAAACGCCGCGCTGGTCCCAATAGAATTCCAATTATTGGATTTACTATAAGTATAACGGTGCAAAATGTTTTAGCGACGGTCATGATGCTATACGGATACAGCTTTTAGCGTAAACGCCCAATAACGTAATTCACCCTTAACAGCTTACTTTTAGTGCATAAGTTCTTTTAGTTCATACTTTTAAAAGCATAATTTTGCCATAAATCTAAAGGTGAGCATGGGCCATGTAATCCTGCATGTAATGTTGCATGACAGGATCTATTTTTTACTTATGACTTTTAAAAGTAAATAATCCTTCAAAACTCACATAACTATTCCAATCGCAGCCATGATGCACTTATGAATTACGTGTACGTAATGCTTTTATATCAGCAGTTAAATTTCTCCTTTTAATATATTGATATTTTAGGATCAGAGCACTTTAACTTTAAAGGGGCCGGGGTCTTCATCAAAATTCCCTCGAAATTGATTTTATAGTTTTTTTCTGATAGAGGGGAGTGATATATATCAGCTGCTTTTGGTCCTATAGAAAAATATTGTTCCTAGCCGAAGTTATTACCGGTCAAATGTCAGCGCTTTAAATGTGTAATTGTATTGCGCGAGCGATTTTCAATCGCGCGACCTGAAAATCGAGTCTAAAAATCTATCTTGAACTCCTACATTTTTTGAGTCATCACCCTGAAACTTTCAGGATATGTTCTAAGGACCATTTAGAAAAGATTGCATGGCCAGAATTTTGAGATAGGCCTTAAACAATTTTTTATTCGATTTTGAAAATCTTGGACCTGGAGAAATTGGCAAAAACAAGGAATGAGTAGGGACTCTGGCTCCAACCCCCATTATTCATTGAATTACTCCTATTGTATTGTATTATTAGACCTAAGCAGTCACATTACCTATATTATCCATTAATAATAATACATTTTTATTTTCCTTCCATTAATTACAAGGTCATCTAATCATCTAAAAACATCAAAACTGAAACTCACCTTCAAGAGTTTAACCTCCCTTCTGCAGCCCTTGAGCTGTTTGAACTCGGGCATGTTAACTTCAAAGAGTGAAGCACTGTCAGCTAGTCCCTGCATCTCCTCCTCCATAACGGCTATCTTAACGTGCATCTCGTCTAAGTTACCGTACACACTCTCTGCTGCGTATTTGAAGGGAGCATCTTTTCGGAACATCCTGAAATAAACCAGATTTAGATTATGTAATTTATAGCTTATCTGTCTATTATATTGCGGATTGCACTAAATCTTACTTCGTGACTGGTGCTTTAAAATCATTTTATTTTTACCGTCGTGTGTGTGATGGTGACTGTTTGTGATTGACAGTTGACACAGGAAAGTTCATTAGATCTTCAACGCCAACCCAGTTATTATAATTTTTGATGGAAAAGAATTGACAATTGTGTAATTTATCATGTTTCACAAGTCGAGACATTCTATCTAAAATATTTGTATTTAAAGTTTATTATGCTTCCTGATCAGGCTCCAGTTAGGAACTTATGTCAATGTACCCTTTTTATTAATTTCTGAATTTTAATTTTACGCTAAGAGTTCGCCCTTCGCTCGAGACTGATCAGAAAATGTCAAACGTTTTTAACACAAAAACATTCTATGAGACTCAAAGACAATTCGTGGCTGGATAAAAATATTTGTCTGCAATCGTCTATTATATGTATACCCTTACGAGTATAATCATATTCAACATTTTATCGCCAAATAAATGCTAAACATGCTTTTAATTATTTTTCATTATAACCTTTTGAATTAATCCTCGTCTCCATCATTAGAGCAAGTTAGAGCACGTTTAGGTCATGACTCATGACTCATGACAATATATATAATATAAAGGTGCTAACTTTTATATTTTGACAAAATATAGTTTCTACTTACTCTCTAAACTCGTGCTGTTTGACGTCGAATGAGGTACACTTTCTGCGAATAATAGCAACTTCGTTGGCCTGTAATGGTGCTACCTGTTGCTTCACCATTACTCCCTGCTTCTTTACGTTGTTCCATTGCTCTGGTAGCTCCTAAAAAAGTAATTATATGATGGTGGAATGATCTGTGAAGCCGGCAAATACTATTACTAAACCGAATAAGATGGAGCCTTGGTAGTGGTAATCCATAGTTGGAATCTCAAATAGATTTCCGAGGAAAGTTAAACTCGAAAAAATGACTTGGGTATTTTAAGTCAATCTTTTATACTAGTAGCTATGTTATAGCTACTAGGCTGTTCAACACGATGCAAAGCGTAATTTCACGGTGTAATTACGGTGTAATAACCAATGAAAATTCAGTTTTACTGATCACTCTCACGAGTCAAAAAATACGATTCACCTCCCCTCCAGTATCCACATCTATAGACTTATAGATATAGACCTTTGCATTTATTTTGATCGTGAAAAATGCGGAGACTATCGTCCTTCCCAAATCCCAATCATCCATAACCCATATATTTTTGAGACTGCGGTTATATTGTATCTGGTATATTATACTAATTGGTTGTCCACAAACCTGAAGTTGCTGGTGAACTTCTTCGCTCATCTCATGATCGTAGCTCTTGAGCAGGTCTATGGTTTGTTTAAGAGGTTCGAACATCTCGTCTGTTAAGGCAGTTCGGTCCCGCACGTTTAATAGGTTACCCATACAAGCAACCTGAACGTTATTTCGTGTAGTTAAAGAGACCAAAAAGTAAGATATCGACTGAGTAAGTATTCCTACTTTTTAATCAACGAGGTTAATTTATATTAATGAAATCTTCTCGGACCTTCTAAAATAACTAAGTTATATTTAAATGTTACTCACCAATCCTTCGTAGTCACCGTCCTCAACCTCAACAGTGAGACCAGAAGTGGTAACCTTGATGAAGTCCTGTAAGTTCTTCAAGCTGTTGGTCACGTGATCAATAAGATGGGTCTTGAACATGAGACTCCACTTTCGGACTACGTTCAGGAGGTTCTGTTTGAAAGGTCTGATACTAAGACGGAACCACTGGTCAAACACGTAGACGTCGGGTAGGGCAGCCACCTCGTCGTACAGCGTTTCGTACGTGTCCATCTGGGAAGAAACATGTGTGTTATTAAAATGGTTTTATACAAGCAATTTCTAGATTTCTAGGTTTCAAGCGTGTTGATTTGATGATATTTAAAATTTGATTTGATCTAAGTCGCTCGCATGGCATATATGAATCACGTGATGAAGTTAACGACTCTGTCATCATCGTTGTTAAATACGTCAAAAAATCGACTCAAAATACGGCGTATTCAATGTTCGAGAGAAATACGTAAGAATACGTGAAGTATCCAATCAATAAGCCCGAAAAAAATTGAATTTAGACCCTGTTAAATTTTGTCCGGAATACGTCTAAAATTTGTCCGAAATACGCGCGCAGGTCAAAATTTATTGTAAAAAATCGTTCTTACTCCACAGTGGAAATCGAAATACGCGAATTTTCGGCGACAAATACGTTTGCGTATGCATACGTTTGCACTTGAAACGCTACGTATTTAACAGCATTGTCTGTCAGATTGAAATTTGTCGGGTAGGCTGCCCTACCCGACGTACAGCGTTTCGTACGTGTCCATCTGGGAAGAAACACATGTGTTATTTAAAAGGTTTTATAAAAGCAATTTCTAGATTTCTAGATTTCAAGCATGTTGATTTGACGATATTTAAAGTTTGATTTGATCTAAGTCGCTCGCATGATATATGAATCACGTGATGAAGTTAAGGACTCTGTCAGCATCGTTGTTTCAGTTTTCACCGACAAAAAGTGGTTGGTTTGATCGATCTTAGCCACTTCATTGCAACCTTTATCTTATCAATAGAAGCAAGGGTGTTGCCTTAAAATCTCTGTTAATATTATTAGAAATCTTCTGCCTCCTTAAAATTTTGACAGCTTATCAGACAACTTGACAATATCGAAGTTTGTATCAACTATTTGCAACTAATATACTTGACAGATAAATTATCGAACTCTCATCTGACGCACAACATAAACTTGCCAGTTAAATAGTATCAGACTGATCCGACAGAATAACTCCATTATAGCTGTCTGATTGTCTTCCCACGCTACCCACTTCAAATTAATAGCATAAGGAAATGAAAACTATTTTCTGACCACAAGTTCCTTTGTAATACCAACACTTTGAACTGTGCAAAAATCAGCTAACCTGTTCTTTGAATTGCTCGAGAGTGGGCCGGCACTCAGGCACTCCTTCCTCTCCTGCATTCTCTATCTCCTCTTGAGTCAGGACATGGTTGTAGAGCAGGAACTGTCGTAGGAACTCAGCCCTGTTTTCTGTCCACAGGTAGGAGTAGTTCTCAAACTGGTTACGTTGCTCAATTGCCTGTTAGAATGGATCATGAACCGTCCGTTGTCAAAATCAATTATATTGTTTGAGAGATTTTTACTAAACGGAGCAAAAGGCAAGAGTCTAGCAAGAATTTCGTATTCAACTTGAAATGCCGCTTATTATCCTTTCAAATCTCCCTGCTCATCTTATCAAAAATCTTTAAGAGTGAAAATATGCCCACCTTGTTGATGACAGCAGTTACTCTATCCATCAAATCATGTCTCATCTCACTGAGATCTAACATGTCGTCCAGCTCGATCTGGTAATGGTCCATGCCGTTGTGTTTAGCGATACGAGGAATCAGCGACGACAGCTTGTACGCGTCGTCTACAATTCCCTCGATCAGTTCCATGAAACCGTCCTCGGAGCCGAACTCTAGAGACGGTACAAAGACCATGTCGGGAATTGCCAGCTCTAATCTGTAATGACAATATCATTAGATTCGCTTTTAAATTGACAGATACTTATCTGGTTACCAGTCACTGGTTGCATCAGGGAACCCTAGTTAAAGTTACATTAACGTTAATAATTGAGACAAATTTTAAATCCTACGGTTGTGCTTAAATATAAACACACCAGATTAACACCATAAATAAAGCAGTCAAAACCAACCTAGCTTCCATAAGTGGCATAATATCAGGAGCATTAAGTTCTGTATTCTCCAGCAGGTAAGCAAGAGAACACTGGACTGCGTTGAAGAAGCCGTCAAGGATCATATCGTCAACATAATCAAGATAGTTCCTCCAGTGATCGCTGTCCTCAGTTGCTTTGAACAGGGTTAGATTGGTGGATACGATCTCTTGTATCTTGACTCCATCTTCTTTAATGAGGTTGTAACGTTGTGCTAACATAGCTGCTCGATCCTGGTTGGAAATATAATTATAATGGTATAAGTTATAAAAGACTGTAGTGGAGAGTAAGTGAAGCATTAATTTTACCAAAACACTAAACAGTATATTTTTAAATTTTGAATTTTGAAAATACAGCAGGGATGCTGTGATTGGTTGCACTTGCCCACAAATTGTCAGCCATTTAAGGTTTACAGTTCAATTACGACAATTGTTTTAGGAACTTGAATGACATATTATAAGCACTTCACTTCGCTAGTGAAATCGACGAATTTTGTCGACAACAGCTTTCCCATTTAACTATGTCGCAACTCTACTTGGCGCTTATTTTATAGTGATGGCACGTCAATCATTTCTCGTTTGGATGAAGTTGGCATGGTGAGAATGACAATACGTCACCCACTCACTTCTAGTGGGCGAATACTCACATCTAGATTGAGCAGGCCTCGTTTCTCCTTCCTCTCATACAGAGGATAGTCGCACCACTTAGCCATGATGTTGTTCATAGCTTCAACATTGTCCTTAGCTGAGGATACTCGCTGTTCCAGGTTTCCAGTTGTGTGCCGCGTTTCTTCGATGTAGGTCCACACATCTGAATGGTACTTGGTTAATTAATCAACCTGGACTCTGGAGCAAAGTTAAATAGCTTAAATACTTGCGCATTTTTACTCTCTCATGAAATGCAATGTTTAATAAATATTGAACGATCCAATTATATGGTCAATTCAACTAGGGTATTAGTCGGTAATAAAAGTTCTAAAGACTGTTCTGGAATCTATCTAACTTACTGAAAGTTAAAGTTAACTTACCCTCGCTCTTCCAGTTCAGACTAGTAATGGCTCGGTCAAGTTGGATGTCTAGATGTCCTAGTTGTCCCTCGATCAGTGGATACTCCACATCTAGAATAGTCTCCCGTACTTTGTTATATCTGAGAAAATAGGGTTTAGCAGCTGCTCAACAGGGGGCTTATTTTAAAATTATCTTGTTATTCAGACACTAACACTAATCTATCAATCCGATTAATCCACCACTGTTTATCTGCTGTTAAACGATCCCATCTTTTAATGTGATAACTTATCATGACATATTACAGCAAACACCTTTCTGGTCATGAAGTACAATCTTTACCTGGATACAATAAGATCCAAATTAGCGAGATACTGTCTGAACAGATCGTTCTTAGAGTAGATGCCAGCAGCTGATCCAGGTATCTCGATATCATCACGCTTCAGAGATTCCAGGTATCTTACCTCTCGCAGTACAGATACAAGCTGAGAAAAATAAATAGGGTTTTTATCTAGGTTATAGTTTCTAAATTGAAATGGAATACTAAGCAGTGATAAAGCTGATGGTAGAGTCAAGAGTAAAAACTACTTTCTAAACTGAAATCTTTTGACACCGCCAATTTAGACCTTGAAATTAGTACACCCCTTATCTAAAATCTCTTTGTATAGTCTTATTGTTGAAGGACCGAGGCAGATAAAAAGGAGTGGTAAAATATTCACCACAGTGCTAATATTAGTATTACAATAGTAACGAGTAACACAGCCCTGCACGGACCACTCATTTGTCTGCAATACAATTTTAGTGGTGTCACGTCTAGCCATGTGATGCAATTTTATGGATGATCATGATACTCTCAACTTATTTTTTTGTACTAGTGATCCAGTTTCTCCGAAAACTGATCAACAATTCGTATTTCATTCTCTAATTTTCGTTATATTCTCTTACTGTTGATTCTCTACCATACCGAAATGAAGAAGAATTGTAATAACTTATCTTTAATCAAGGGTAAGGGTCCAAATAAAATGTTATTCATTAATAACGGTAGCTTTCATTTGGAGCCGTGTTTACTATTATTTTGAATGGTCAGTGTTTCCACGAATTATTGCAACTTTTCTAGGACCTAGTGGCTTAATTCAGATGTGGCTTAATTCAGATGTTATTCAGTTATTACAGTGGCTTTTATCTGCGCCGTGATAACTATCACTTTGAATGGCAACTTTTCTTGAATCTGGGACAAATTCAAATGTTATTACAGAGCTTTTGTTTTGAGCAATGAACGCAAACAAGAATTGACCTGGTGATTAAAATTGGGTTGACTAAAGCCATCAAAATTTTACAAACGGACCTTGAGTATGAGATTAATCTGAAACTGGACTTTAGGACCGTTCTAATCAAATCAACACATACAAGGAGGGGACCACGTCATCGTCACCACAATCAAATCGTGGGTATTTAAATCACACCACACATGCGGTAGCACTACTACTAAAGATCTAACTTTAAGGGTTTGTCGGCGCATATAAAGCTGTAATTTCTTCAGTTTTCTTAATATTTATGCAAATATTCTAGTTTATGTGCATACATACCCGGTATAGTATGCAATTTCTTAATCAAAGAAGGTTGAATTTATTATTGAAAATTGTTAGTCATGCCCCAGAGTAAGAGTCGTAATTTAGCGGCTGATGTAATTTCTTGAGAAATCTTTAACTTCAAGAACGATTTGATCAGTTTTAAATTCTTGATGACATTAAGGAGCCAATATCATGGACAAATCTTGAAAAATTTGTTGATGTTAAAGAGTACTTCCAATCAGTCAGAATTAAAAATTGGACCAACATACAATTGTTGGAACAATGCAATATCGCGTAAGATTTAGCACATCTTTAAAACTTATAGAATCCGTTTATCTCCAGTATAAGCAGTTGCACAAACCTGTGGGTCAAAGTTGACACTGATCAGTTTACTTTCTTCACTCCTAGTGAGCAAAGGAAGATCCAAGTTGAGTTCTGACACTTCTCCTACTGAGCTCGTCCAGTCAGTGTAAATAGTGCGCTCAAACCTACCAGTGTCAGGGAGTCAGCGTTTAGTTTTACTTAGTAATATTTTTTCTCCCGTCTATAATTTCTCCCAACATAATATTATAATATGTAGTATTGATATATCAAAGTACTTACATAAATTCAGATCAATCTTATTGGTGTTAAACAGTCTTAAAAACCCAATCCTAATTTGGCAAACTTAAGTAGCCGGAAGTGGTAGCAAGTAAACTTACGTTTTGAGGAGCTCCATCATTTGATCGTACTTTTGGAAAACTATCAAAGCTTCTGCACTTTCGACTGCCCTGCAATGTTTATCATGTCACGATCTAATAATATTTCTTGATTTCGACAATAGCGACCACATATCCCATTATTAATACTCGGTATAGAGTGATCCATGGGAATCATACCATAATGATAATGAAATTTTGCGTCACTGTGTGATTATCATTATTGATATCCATGTCTTATAATAACAAACTTTAATCATTAATCATTAAAGACTGGCTTTAATCTTTTGTACAGATTGTCAAGTGTGGAGATCAACACTGGACACGATAACCACTTCTGACTTACCCATGATTGAGTTGTACGAGTTTGTTTCTGATTAAGCTTATTCTTTCTCTCATTCCTTGACACCATTGCAGTACACCAGCCACGAAGGGCATGTTGACGTGTAACACCAAGTTTTGGGTATCCTGAAAAATTGAATTTCTTATATTAAAAGAGATTGTGACTTATTTGGGTAAATATTAAAACCTAATATTTTAAGGATAGTTTCTGAGGATAAATACTAAATAGGAGTGATAAGTCATAAGTTAAGCAGTTATGACTAGTGTAATAATAGATGACTAGCCAAGCCCCAAGGTGGGAACTTTCCCATAAAATTCCTCGTCTGCTCAAGACATCAATGCCCAACAGAATATGATAATGAAGTTAACAGCACTATAAAACTACTTAGCTGTTGGATTACAATTTACACTAAATCAATTTACTGATTTATGAATCAATTTAAATTTCAAAATAAATTGGCGCGCAATGTCCTAAACGCGCCGCGCACTTGTTGCACTGGTAACTAACAATTTTGGGTTGTGATGATGTATATTTACTAGTGATATAATAAGAACGAAAGTTGTACCAGAGAAACATTAGATTTGTATCCAAATTTGTCTTGACATTTCAGAGGAGACTAATCTTATGCTTCACTTGTTCAACGATCATGAACTATAATAAATCTCTAAACTGATGTCATACTCTTTTTTTTGTTGGGGACCGGCCCGAAGTACCAGCCAATGTTTACTCAAAAAATAATATATATAATAAGTGTTATCAATTCAAACTCAAAACTCACTAAAGATTAGATCTCATTAAAACGATTACTCAACTACACGAACTTCCAGTGAACTTGCAAAGTTGCAATTGTGATTCAATTAATCTGGCATTGTCTAGACAAGTAACCAAATGGATTTGATAACTGTCAATCAGCAATATTTATAACTAAGACAATTTGATAATTTGAAGTTTAATTTTGTTACCTTCAATACAGAGTTTTGAGCATCGAACATTTTCTTGGTCGAGTCAAGCTCTGCTTCGTACATTTGGATGAGTAGAGGATACTTGGGCTCCGAATTTCGCCTAATGATTGGCCTGTCCAGCAGGGTTCCAAACGCGTCCAACATCTGATTAGGAATTAATTAGATAATTGCTCAATTAATTATTCATTATTGATTATAAGTATTTAGTCTCGGTCCTCGGAATTGTTGTATTACTTTATTTACTGAACTTAAAAAACTTATAGACGTACAATCGCCAAATTTACAAAATACATCAAAACAATTTTAGTGGATTGTACCTTCAATATTGCCTCCAAAGATCCACAATCGTCAAATCCTTGGTTAATAATAGATGCCAGTCGTAAGTCTAAGTATTCAATCTTCTCGATGAACTTGTCATAATCCCTCTTGAATGCCTGTTGGAATTCTAGTATTAATATAAATTACTTTCAGATAATTTCTTTCAGGGTTTCTTTCTAGGTTAACCAGTTCTACATAGTTATCATATGTATCATGAACATCAATATTTAAAACACCGACTGCAGTTCGAAAATTTATTTTTGAATCTTCGGCTTGACGAGGTTTAACTTTGCTTGCTTGACATAGATGTAAAATAAATATTATATTATACATACGTATCATAAGCATTAATAAGGATTGAGCATATTCAACCGTCTGATCTTAAGCATGTTAAAATATTGGTTGTCATGACCACCTCACTTTTTCTCAAGCAATAAGTGCTAGAATATAACAAATGCTCCTGCATCTCTCGACGTGTGTATTATCAGAACTTGCTTGCGGTCTTCTATCACGTGACACAGTCATGCAATGTGACCAGAATATCATAAATAAGTTCATTCACTGGACACTATTCTTGACATTTGACTGGCATGAAGTATTATATTGGCTATTTAGTGTACAAAAAGTACATTACACACATGTGTACATAAAGCTTATTTAGAACAAACTACACTCTACATACCCTACACACCCTACACCCTACACCCTACACCCTACACCCTACACCCTACACCCTACACCCTACACCCTACACCCTACACATCCTACACTGTACCTACCGGATCCTTGATGTCCAGACAGTTGTAGGTGATGTTTTGGAAGATAGTGACAAACTCAGTGAATTCCCCGAACAAGTTTTCTATCTGTTTACTCAGAGCTTTACCCTTCATTCCTCCAATTTCTACCTTCTCTAGTCTGTTAAACTCGATCGTAGTCTCAACTAGATCCTGAAATACATTGTTTAATGGAATAGTAGCTCGCAGGTTTGGTAAATAATCAATAAGTAGGACAATAGAATTGTCGGAATTGTTTGATGTCCTAACATAGTAATATTATCACTAAATTTCTGATGAACAGGGACAATGCAATTTAAATAGCAGTAATTATCGTGGTATTAATGAGATTTAGAACCTGTGTCGGCCTTACTCGGCCTAGCTCTTAGTTATCACTAAATTTTGTCTCTCAACGAATAGCCAGTACTAAACAGTCTAGTCACCAACCTGGAGTTGTCTGACACGGCCCAAGAAGCAGTTGTAACGAGGGAACACCAAACTAGAAGCAAACTCCCAGGGTACAAAATCAGTTTCCTTGAAGTATCCCTTCAGTGCGGTCCTCTTCTCTTCAAAGTCCTCCTTGAACTTTTCCAGCACTTTGATAACATATCGTATCTTTGTAAGCGCTTCATCTGATTCCCCTTTGAAGATTTCTTCTGGTCCCAGATACTCTGATGCCTGTTATTTTGTTGTGTTAAAACAGATTTATCTTCTGATCAAATATTTCACTTTTTGTTTTGACCAAAATAAGTTATTTGAAGGACCACTCAATTGATTACTGAAGCATTTTTCCAAAATCCTTCCAGAAAGGTAACAAAAAGTACTTACAATCCTGATAAGAAGGTTACAAATCTCCTGTAACACCACAATAATCCTACTTGGCATCCTGTAGTGACTACTGTTAGCCCACACTAAACACAAGGTGTGCAGGACTGGAGCTAACCGGGGCTCAACCTGGTCAAACTCGGACTCCTCCACCGACTCGATTGTTGTCTTCAGGGCTTTCAGGTACATATTGATCTCACGTGCCTCTTTTAGTGCTGAAACATTTTAAGGGCGTGATAATCGTGACTTCGAGGGGTATAAGCTTTTAGCTCATTTTAAGTAAGAGGTGTTAGATGGTATGTCTCGATACCTTGTCCTGAGTAATCTAGCTCGGTCACAAGGTACTCAAAGTAATTAACTATCTTCCTAGACTATTCTCTCTTGTTTATTACTTAAGTGTAACTGTAATTTCGTTGTCAAGCTTGTTTGAAGCTTTTGGTTTCTTACATTTAATTCTTTACTGAAGATGGAACCAAAAATGTTAAACCACTGAACCACATAACATAAATATTGTATCAAGTTTTTTACAAATCAGTCGTTTGTTATTCGTGTGACAACAGGAAATAAATTTTTGCAATCTTAGCGTTATTAATTCCGCAGGTTTCGAAAAACGGTCGTGTTCATGGATACATCTGATTACAATTGCATTTCGCAAGCTGTGTCACTTTTATTAATCAATTTTGAATCTAAAAATACTGCCATTCTTTAGAGAAATGAGAGTGTTTTAATATCTCATTGTATCGCGTTAGATCCATAATTTACCGTTGACTACATCTTGGAAAAGTATCTTGAAGGAATTAAAGTAGCTGCTCTCAGTTCTCTCCAGTATTTCTGCCATCTTCCTAACTTTCTGTGACCTCAACTGAAATTAATAGTATTGTTCAAAGTTTTACCGACTGAGTATTTAAAATATGTGAATTAGTAATTATAAAAACCCATAAACCTAATAACAAGCTTATTTCATTGGTTAAGCCAGATCATTGCCAATACCCTTATTGGAGCATAGTAGTTTCATGTTGGAAGATAATTATTTCTTCTAGTAACGACGAATTAATTAAAGGAATAATAATCAATTCGTCGTGATAATTCGTCCAACAGTTTAATTGCTAGAAGAAATAATTATCCTTCAACATAATGCGGCTAATAAACAATCGGCCAATCATTCATTAATCAACAGTAGTTTCAATATCATCATATAAACAAAAACTTAGAATTCAAGACCAGCAAATCTCGTATGTTTTCCATGTTTGGAGATAGTTCTGCCGTTTTCTGACAAATGTGCTTAAAGACCATTTTTGAAATTTTGAATTCTGAAGAAAAAAACCAACCCAAATTTCCTTTTTGGGGCAAGATTAAGAACTATCCCTTGAAAACCATCGAAACCCACCAGAAACCCCCTTTTAAAACCGCTTAAAACTCCAAAATTTGTCATAAATGTGTCAAAAGCGCTTGAAGACCTCGGATCTTCGAGTGATCTTTAAGCACTTTTGTCAGCAATCTTTCAGAGTTTAAATTTTACTGAAGTGACGAACCTGATCAAAGATGCACTCCAGATTTCTGGCTCTAGACTCCCAAAATTCGATCTCCACCATTGGCTCGGGGTTTAGTCCCTCCAACAGAGGTTGAGCTGACTTTCTTTTCAGAACATCGTGTATTTGATGACTCCACCCGATAATTACTCCCTCAATTTGATGAATGGAGTTTCTCAAGTGTCTTTCAGCCCTGGTTTAATATATTGTTAGAAATATTAAAAATAAAACAGCTAGTCATAGAAACAAATAATCCTGTCTTTAAGAAATCATTCACCCCATTTAGATTTTACATCCATTGAACATCAACACACAAACTCTTACTTGTCGTCGTCATTATCGGTGAAGGATTCAGCACCCACAGGTAAAGGTAACAGAGTTTTGCCCTTGACCTGTCCAGCCACCACAAAGACGGAGCTCTTCAGATTGTGCACGTGACGCTGCACATCTTGAGACACCACAGCTGGCCAGTTTTCGTGGTTCCGCTTGTTGGAGAGAAGTGGAACTAGCAGCTGAAATGTTTGACTTTACTCGTGTGTTTGGTTTGTTTAATATGCTAGAATTATCTTTACTGATTAAATTGTGAACTAGAATCATCTTTACTGATTAAATTGTGAACTAGAATCATCTTTACTAATTATATTGTGAACTAGAATTTTGAACATAGTCTGAGTAATAAATAATGGTAACGGCGAGTTTTTCTGTAGGATTGATCAGGCATCAAGATCCTACCAGTTACCAAAGTTATTTTGATTCTTATCCAGTTATTGGATTTGTATTGTAAAACCCTTAAATAGGAGATGCGATGGCCATTTTAGGGTCCCTGATCCCTCCCAGATACATAATTTTGGCTGGAATCTCCCCGATTAAAGTAACAAGGACGATTTTCCAATCTAATTTAATTTACTGACAATCAAACTTTAATGTTGTACTCGTTGCTTATGTGGTTTCAGGACTCTGCCAGGGTCAAGTAATCGTCACACCCTAGCACGTGACCCTAGCACGTGACCCTAGCACGTGACCCTAGCACGTGACCCTAGCACGTGGCTAGTGCAGTATTGCAATAATGATATTGGTCAATATGATAATTGGCTCCCGGTTGGACATGGCGTACAGTGAACGTGGATAGGCTCTTTTATGCCTCAAATAAAGGATTGCCAATTTGGTTCATTTTGCTCCGGATAAAGTTTTAGTATTTATTTGTGGCATGGTCTTAGAATATCTTTTATAAGATATATAATATGACGGTATATTTTGATATCTATTATAATTCAACGCAGCCTTCATATCCCCCCTATTTTTTAGTTTTTTCACATCCTATCACTTGTAAAATTATGTTTGTAGTTGAAGACTCAGATTTTTGTTGTACTAAGGAATAGGGTGTATATATGTGCCAAATCTTACGTATTTTAAAACAAAAAATTGTTAAAAAGTTTATGCAGTTTTTTATTTTTTCCTCGAATGAAAATTCGAAATTCACCTCATCGACTAATGCAGAGAGTTGTTCCAAAGGAGAATTTGAAAGGTCGCCATAGATCATTTCTGATCTAAACTTTCCTTTGCTCAGCGGTATCTTGCCCTTTTTCACGAAGTATACCGCTTTTCCTTTCAGTGTTGATGGAAACTCGTAGAAAGGTAGAGGAATACCATTAGGCTGTACAATCATAACCAGATTGACATGGTCCCCCTTTTCGCAAAAGTCTACAATGAGCTGCTTCTGCTCGTCCTGCGAGAGAAGTTTCGCCCATTTGTCGTTCTTGATTTTCAGAGTCTTCTGGGTGTACGACCCAATAAGCTGTAATCTTGCGTCGGTGTCAAACGCCATATTGAGGTTTTAATCTGACCCTCTCACATATGCGGGTACCTTGAGAAGTGCGTTTCATAAACAAATATTTTCTTAATTTGCAAAATTACATTTTTTAGTATAAGAATTCGAATGCTAGTCAAATTAATTCAAGAATACTTGGCTTCTGCGGTCTTACAACTGAAAATATGACTCAAGCTCTCTAATATCTTGATCTCTAATATCTTGATCTCTAATCTATGCCAGCCCCTGTATTTAAAAAGAAGGGTGTAACTGTAGTCCCCGCTTTAATTGGTAGTCAACATAATTCATCTTATCAATCAAGGAAGGTCTCCCTCAAAGGTTTCTACAAATAAAACCAAACCAATTGATTCGGATACTTCAAACTTAAAATACCCTGAAAATTGGCAAGGGATGTAATCCGACCAATTCTTTCCGGGATCATTAAATTTTTCGTTACGAGAAATACAGTTCCCTAATTAGATTCTGCATTATTGACTGAAGATCGAAACAGGTTGTGGACGTTCTGAATTTGGCACCAGTGATTGTAGATCGTTTATATCAAGATAAGCTATGACAGATTCAGATTGTGTTAAAATTGTGTAAGGGAGGAGATAAAACCACTTAGATCGGCTAAGATTATACCACCTGGGTGCAATTGACGTTGCCATGGTTAATAAATGAGATTTTTTTGCACGTGCATGTTGCAAATTTTATTTGTAGATCATCGGTTATTTCTGTTTGCAATTTACTTAGTTTCGTCCTCAGCTCTACTAAATTGACTTATATTTTGACTGAATGGAGGCAACATCGTGAGCCATATTCCATAATAGATTTCTCCTCAAAGTCTTAAGAAGGAACATACAGGTACAGGTTTCGATCATGCAGACTAATTGCTAGGGGTAATTTATCATCAAACAAAAGATTTGTGTAAGGTAACATTTCCGTTGGTTACTATGTTTGATCATGGCGAGTATCTATTCATATGTTCAAGTTAATGAAACTGTTTTTTGATGTTTTCATAACTGTCCGTATTAATGATAGCAGTTTAGACTGCTTAGTGCCGCAAGGAATTATCATAACCAGAACAATCTTACAAATTAATTGAAAGCCACTAAAAAACATTATGTAGTAAGTAAATAAGTAAGTCACTGTCGGACTGCAAGTCGCAACTGGTAAACGGAGTCGAAACGATCGAATAAAATCGTACACTATCTGATGCGATGGTGTCGAAGGCAAACATAGCGATAACCATGGCAACTACGAATGAAATGTACTGGATATCAAAATTGCGTGCGGAGTAAAAGTGAAAGCTTCTCATCTGAATTCTATTGCGCGGCGCAAAATACTCAAATGTGATATTATATTACACAAACTATGAACCATCATTTTATCATTTGCCGGCTGATTCTTTGATACACGTTATATACCTCTTTTCGCCACTTTTTAAAAGGGGCATACAATGTGTATCAACTAAGCTAGCTAGCTGATTATTCTTTATAGCATAATCATTTGATCGTTGTGTTTTCATTTTATATTTTTGTGTTTTTATCATATATTATTCATTACTGGGCAAGGCGCTTTATTACGGCCTACCGTATATTTATAATTATTATTTTTTCGGCTGCAAAACTGTAAAAATCAAAACAAAGTCACGTCATAATTTTTTAGCACGGGCAACTGAGCAAACGAATTATTTAAAGTTAATAAGCTAAGCAACCTAATATATAATTTTATTTGTCATTGCTTAGTGATCATTCGATTTCCTACCGGAGGATCGGATCATGAGGATCACTGATCAGGATTAATTCACGATGTCAGATGTCAATCCTACGCAGCTCGGCGAGGCCCAGTGTTGTAGCGCGATCCGATGCGTCACTGTTATGTTGACTGTGCCGCGCCGTGCACTCAATGAGGCTTCTCTCGCTTGTCGCTAGATCGGCAAAATGCGCTACTGTGCCGCGCCGAGCTGCAATAAATTGACATCGTCAATTAAGGCCCAGTGATGCATTTTGCCGATCTACCGCATGCCGAAGCGAAAAATGCGCGGCCCGGCGCGGCCCAGTTAAGTAGGCCCAGTTAATTTTTAAAATTTCGTGCGCGTACTGCGTGATTTTGAATTTTGAATTATGAATTAGGAATAGGTGGCTTTAATTTTATTAATTCGCTCGCTCAAAAATTTCACGTGACTTTGGTTTTTATGGTTTTGCAGCCGTAAAAAACGGTTTTACATAAACCCTAATCCCAACCCTAATGCCTAACCCTGACCCTAACCTTACTGGGCCGCGCTCAGCCTGTCATTCCGCCTAATCTCTATACTATTATGTTAATGAACATAATAGCCTGGGGTCCTCAGGTAACCCTAACCTCGATGCTATCCTTGTAGCGCGATGCACTACTGGGTCGCGCGCGCATCACACAATGCTTCTCGGTAGATCGGCGAGATGCACCACTGTGCCTCACCGAGCTGCGAAGGATTGACATCGTGAATCAATGCTATCCTTAACCCTTACCACAACCCTAACCCTAACCCGAACACTAAACAATCGAATTCATATTTTACTAGCCTGTCACTTACTGGGCCGCGCTCAGCCTGCAGCCTGTCATTCCACCAAATCCGTTAATGAACACAATAGCCTGGGGTCCTCAGGCAAGCCTGTCACGTAACCAAAACGGTTTTTGCCCATAACTCTCCAGGGGAGCATTTTTAGCCTACGTCATGGGAGGTGATTCGGAATCAGCGTCCAAAAATACAATAGGGCCTTTTCACAAGAATTTTTTTTGATTTGGGCGAGCGATTTAGTAGAAGCGGTTACTTTTTGAGTTATGAGTAATGAGTTTACAATAAAACCTTCTATGTATTTAGGTACAGCAATATGATTAACTCGACATGGGAAGCGATAACTGATCCTCATCTCAAACAAAACTTATCCTTAGTGGAATTGTATCCTCTCACAACACACATCGCCACCATTCTAAATCTGACTGTTAGTCTGGAGTCAGACTTGGTAACAAAACATCATCTCAATCTTATGAACATCAGTACTCCCATACCTAGCCCGCCGTGTGGCCCTGTTGATCCGTCAGATAACATCTTTTCTCCTTGTTTCTCAGAGACTGCCAACACTCTGTATGGAACAGTGTTTTTGTTTGCTGCTGTATTCTCCTTCGTAGGTAGGAACATAAGTTTATTGATCCTTTCCAAGCTGTATTATTGTATATTTATAAAATATTGTCTATAAATAGACGTTAGACAATATTTTATTTAAACTCAATTCAAACTTAATTCAAACTTAATTTATAAATATCTATATTTATAGATCGAGCATTATCTTTGATGTTAGATTTTCAATAGTAATTTTTAACACAAGACCGATTGCTGAATATATCAAGCTAAAATCAAAACTTATATGTTATTATAAGATTCCATTACAGCTCTAAATAGATTGTTTCATTTTCACTTATTCATCAGGGAACTTGTTGGCTATAGGAGTTTGGAGCTCATATCTACGGAATTATTTGACGGTCCTTTATCTAAATCTAAGTGTTTGTGACTTTATCATCTCTATTTCGGGTGAGTCTTCCCCTCCCAATGTGATTTATCTTGCACAATACTTTTTCCAGCGACCAAAAATTATCCCAGTTTAAATGATTATCATCTTCTAGTTGTATCTCAAATAACTAAACTTAAGATGATCCCTTGTGTTTACTAGGTACGACGAGCACGGCAGCCGCCCTCTTTGGAGACCGGCTGCCCGAAAAATCAGTGGGCCGATATCCAGCTCTCTGTTCTCTCCAGGGCATGTCCTTCGAGCTCTGTACCACTGTATCCGGAAGCATCATTAGTATCCTGTGCATTGCACGGTTAGTTAGACATTTCCCCGAAATCAATGTCCCAACTTCATTTCACTTTTAATCACTCGGCAGGACCTCACCACCCACTTCAGGTGGCGCAGTTTCACTTTTAATCACTCGGCAGGATCTCACCACCTACCAGTACCCCACTTCAGGTGGCGCAGTTTTGCTCATCCCTTTAAGAAAGTGAGGAAGGTTCTTGTGCTGAGACTGCTGACATTCGCATGGATCTACACAGCGTTACCCCACATTGGCTTTACGATCAGTGCGGTCATCGGCCTCACTGATACCAAGTAAGTTAACTACCAGAGTTATTCAGAATTTGTAATAAAGCCATTACATGGTTTGAAAGTTTTACGTCTCCAAAGGGTCAGCACTTTGACTTATGTCACCACTTTAGCATGTTCTATTCGTTTTAAATTAATTTCCTGCTCATTATATGTAATGATATGTCATATGTCTTGACATAGAACAGTACTTGTGATCAGCATGAATTGGTTTGACAGACTAATCAGAGTGTAATGGTTACTAAACTTTATTAAACTCAGAATGACGAAATGAAAGTTTAATCTACCCCAACTCACAGGTACAAATACCACGTGGCAGTAGCGAGCTGTAACTTAGTGATCCACAACGCCCTACCTCCCTGGCTGGAGAGCATGCTGGTGATAAGTTTCGCGATACTCCCCACCCTCCTCAACTCTATCATCATACCAGTCACGTGCTCCCTGGTCGTCAGGGAGATCGTCAAGCAGAACTTGCAGCACACGTACTATGCTATCAGCAGTGTACGGCACTTTTCTATTTTAATAACACATAATAATAGAAAATGTTATCACGATTATCTCTCAAAACACAAGCCAATCACCCTTGGGGCTGACAATCACCCTCAGGGCTGGCCCACATCTTGACATCTAGTTTATCAAGATATTTTACTTAACACTCACTTCAACTCTCAGCAATCAAAAAAGAAGAACCAATGGTACAAAAGAGGATGTCGGCGGACAGGAAGTGCTTTAACAGTTGCAGTCGTAGCAATAGTGTTCGTTTCATGCCAACTACCGCTCTGGGGCTGGCAGTATATCGATATCATCGACAGTATAGTCGGCACCAAAGTTAAGGTTAGAAACTTGTTTGTTTTCATCTCATTTTTATCTCATTCAGATTGTTATTTCTAATTAAACAAATGAATGCGATAATTGCGACACCAGAAAGTTCGGATGATGATTAATCACTCGACTATCACGTGATTTACTCGCCAGGGGAGCAATTTAATCCATATCATGTGATGTGGGGTGATTCGGAATTAGGTTCAAGAATATATTGAATAAAGTTAGTTTCAGCTTTTGGGGGCGTGCCCTTCTAGAAAAATCTTGAATTTCTAGTGTAGTGATTTAGCACAAAATCCGGAATTTTTGAACGTATTCCAAAAGTTAATTTAATCTTATCATTTTATCATTGGATCATGCTCATAATTACAATTATCTACTATCAGGGTAGTCTGTCGATACCTAAAAAGTGGAACGTTGATTTTGTGCTCTACATAGTGTTGATAAACATGAACTCAACTATAAACCCTTATCTTTACTATGTGCGTGGTTCTCAATACAGGTAAGAAAACCGATAACAGATAATGTTCATAAAGCTTTTAAACGTGTAAAGGCGACCACTATATATATGTAGTACCTAGCGAGTCAAGTTAAATTTTAGTACGGCCGCTAAAAGCTAAAAATAGCGATAGGAGTTTAATCCCACTCACTAAATCCACCCTCACCCTCCACATTGACACTACTCCATCATATATTATTACCTCTTCACCCCATCATCCTTAGCTGAAGACAATTAACCCATGCTTTTACAAAGCTCAGCTGTCACTTATATTTCTCAAAAACCCAAATCCAACTTTGCAGGAGGTTGCTATCACAGAAGTTGAAAAAGCTTGCTAAGATCGCATCGGATTCAGTGTCCAAAGTGAAAGCACGGTTCTATTTTACAGATCAAAGGAAACAACAACCAGAATCCCTCAAGAACTCTAATTCTAGTTTGGGGCCAGTAAAGTGCGTTAACGTGGAGCATGGTATTGCATCCAAACAGAACTGAAATATTGGAAAACTCAACTGAAATTTTGGAAAACTCAACTGAAATGTTGAAACATGCTCAGCCTTGTCTGCGCCTCTGATAGTGGTATAGGAACATGTAGGGGGGTTTTGGGTGATGAATACATCGAAATATCTGACGAATCCTAACTTAGTACCGGCCAATTGCTACTTCTTGTTGCTGTTTGTTGTTACTTTTTAACATTGCATGAAATATCATGTTACTTGTCGTGTTCACCCTTACTAAATGAAATGTTGACCCCAACGGGCGAGGTTTCAGCTTTAAGTTGAGGTGAAACTGGGTGGGAATGCAGGGGTTCTGGAAAGTATGTGTTTAATGATGATATATTTTAGTATCTTCTTAGCGTTATTTTATCTGTACAGTGTTTATGTAATGTTGCTATATTATAATAAAAGAAATTTGATTTGTCTTTATTATTTATTATATATCTATTAGTCATCACACAACAAATAAATCACGATGTATACGTTAAACATCAACTCACAAATAACTTATACATGGTAGAAAATGATAATACACGATCGAAGTCATTTACGGAATAACCACCTTCAAATTCACAAATTCTCAATTCCATTATTCTTTCGGTCCCTTGAAAATAGGTTGAAACGCGAAACGACGATAATGTTTAAAATAAGTTCACACTATCAAATTCAAATAAATAATAATTTATTGACATTGTCAACATCGTCACCCTGTTTGAGCGTACAAATAAATTACATATTCCAGAAAGATCTTAGTAATAAATCACAGCGTAAAGTTCGAAATATTTGGAGTCCTAGCCCACGTACATGTGAACTTCTTTAAGTGCTCCAGCAGTACCAACGGATTCTTATAAGAAGCTTGTAAGTTACGGCACAGCAAAAAAATATGAAAAGGAGCACTTATTCAACATGCGGCAAATAAACGTAAAGGTTGTGTAAGTTTCGGTTATGGTTGGAAGGGAAGGAGGGCAATGGGGTACGCTAGAACGCGACCCACTACCTGAGCTACCCAAATTAACGTAATTTGAAAGCATTAACAAGGCTGCAAAGCTAGCAGCTATAAAACTTGAAATGCTCTTAACATTTACTATCTGAAAATTTATAAAAATTGATACCAAGCCAAAAAACATACAAGAAGAACAGTATGTAAAAACTGACGACCTTGCTCAGATCGTCTTGATTAGCATGCTGTCTTTGTCTTCTAAAAGCCTCCTCTTAAATCTTCCTCCGAAATACTCACATTTCCTTTTAAATCTTCCTCCAAAATTCTTCATATGTCTTCACGCCATGCACGTCATCTTCAGATCATCACACATCATCGTCACTGCAGCGTCACTGCAACGTCACTGCAACGTCACAACATCGTACTTAACAAATTTCATGATAAGTGTCATGACAGGGAGATGTCTGATGCGTCAGTGGTTGGCTCTAGTGTTGGGGTGGTCAACATACCAGGACCCCTCTTGTTCAACCGTCTCCGGCCCCGGCCACCATTTCTGGAGGGGTCCAAGACCTTAATAACTGCTCGTAGCTCCGTTAACTCTCGCAATGTGGGGTCGATTGCAGCGTAGATATTACGGTGATGTATAATCCTGGGGTAAGAAAGGTGTTAGTTTAAAATCCTGGGATAAGAAAGGTGTTAGTTTAACTTAATCAATGTAAAATTAACGTATCATTAAGACACGTTATTCTGTAAAAGTGTTATGCTTAAAAGTTCATCATTTGAATCTATGCTCATGGCGGGAAGAAATTTATGCAGGTATTAAAATAATGATCAGAATATGCCAAATAAACGTGTAGAATCGAAGTTAAAAGTGCATCATCTGGTTTCTCTGCAGATTTTTAGTTTACTAACCTGTACTCGACATCACACGTGGGGTGGCCGTTGATGTCGCCACTCTGGAACTTAACAAATCTCCTTAACTTTCGTGTTAACTTCTTCCCAACTCTGCTCACTATCTGATAAGATAGATTAGAAATTAAAGATTCGATTATAAAATGTCAAGACAAGACAAGACAAGACAAGACAAGACAAGACAAGACAAGACAAGACAAGACAAGACAAGACAAGACAAGACAAGACAAGACAAGACAAGACAAGACAAGACAAGACAAGACAAGACAAGACAAGACAAGACATAAGATAAGATAAGATAAGATAAGATAAGATAAGATAAGATAAGATAAGATAAGATAAGATAAGATAAGATAAGATAAGATAAGATAAGATAAGATAAGATAAGATAAGATAAGATAAGATAAGATAAGATAAGATAAGATAAGATAAGATAAGATAAGATAAGATAAGATAAGATAAGATAAGATAAGATATTGAAATACAAAAAGAAGACATGCTAACACAAGAATTAAAAACACAGCATCTAAGACAAAATGTTACTTACATCTTCACTTAAAAGTAGAGGAATAGACCTATGAAGAGATACAAGTGCCTGTACCAAGCGTGCTTCACTGCAATCTGGTAATTTCTTTATTACTCTGTAGTGAATCTCTGCACTGAAAAAGAAAAGTTACAGCTTTAAATATATATTATATAAAAAAAGAAGGCTAGGCCACTCCCAGTGTTGGGATGGACTGAAGTACTAATCTCCTTTTCATTAACCCTAAGCCACTCTGTGCCAAGGCACCATACTAGTATACTAGCTGCAGGGGGTTAGTCCTACGAGCCACTAGGGAGTGTGTATCACCAGCCGAAGCTGTACCAAATCACAGCTATTGTATATAATAATGTTTAAAACAAAGTAAAAAGCTTTTGTTTTCTCTGCATAATTCTAAGCAAGTTATTTTGAGAACGTCATAAAGTCATCAGCCCTATCGTACTCTTGGTTCAGAAATATTATTTCGTATTTTAAACGCATAATTTACCATAAGGTTTATTAGGTATATGGGAATTGAAAGTATTTTGTTATTTTGGTGGCCGGGATATTCCACCTTTTATGTAAGATTTAGAGGCGAATTCATTTCATCATACTAAAATAGTTATCCATTACAGCGACAACCTGACTAGCTAAGGTATGCGATAGTTGACAAATTGTTTTAAATAATTTGTTCTTGCAACTGATTAATAAATTTACTTGCATTATCTTTTATTTGCCTATGACAAATAAGCTTACAAGATCTCATGGGCAAAGTTTAACAATCTCCTTAATCTTACAAAAAGTTGTAGTGAATGACGTATCCTCGTGAATTTAACGAATATACTACCTCAAATAATTATAATCCAATAAATCCTAGCCATGAATGGTAAAATTTAATGGAAAAATGATTGAATCGAGACATTTTTCAAGTCAAATTTTTCTTACGGCTTCATCAAAAGCTATGCGATTAAGACATCGAAATTTGTCAGTAAAAGTCGCTAATTCCTCTTGATTCAATCTCATGCACCCTGTAAAACTAAAAGATTCCGAAATTTGTTTAGCAGCAGTTACGATAAACTAATCACGATTTAGTAAAAGTGATCAGAAACGTTGGATGGGTTTGGTGGAAAATTTCAAATTAGAAAAATCTATACTTCACTTTACAAAAGTTCAAAGGCAACGTAATAATATAAGTGCGGTGGGTGTGGATTGTGGAATTACAATAACGTACTAGTCGTACAATCAATCGTTTTGCGCACAGTTTAGAACTACCTGTACAATTTTGTACAATATTGGGTATGGAAGAACATGTGCCATTGGGAGCCTGGAAGTGCTAGTTCTCCCTAACTTCGGATATTTTGGTAATACAATGTATCGGGCGGCTTTGAATTTTGGCACAGTTGCGTAATGTGATCGCTGTAAATTTTTATTTACGTTTCTTTGTCACGTTTTTGTTCTAATGTCCTTATTGATCAACAGACTCCTTACACAATTATGATCTAACAATATGTAGCTGAATATTCATTGAACTAAACTGTGATTCAGGAAAACGTGCCATACGTTTGCCGCCAAATTCGCAAAGTTTTACCACCCGCACCATTGTCTTTGTCACGTACGTAGGAACGCGCTATTTGCAACATTTTGTCGCACTTAGATGTCCAAGTCCAACTGACACGTGACGTTTAAAGAAATTTTATTAAATCAACAGAGCATTTCCTTCTTAGAGACAGGAGGAGTGCAAGACATGGTCGGGGTCCTAAAGAATGCGGTTCAATAAAAATCAATACCTTTCACGATCGCGGAATATTTTCACGCAATTTAAACCACACTTGTTCTTAAATTAAACCGGAAAAAAATAAGCCGGACGAGGAGTTATTTGCAGAAAATCATTCCATGAATAGAGGGGAGGGGTAGGTATGAAAAGGGTAAAAAGTAGCTTACCTCTTAACATGTTCGGGAATGTTGAGTCCACCTCGCATATTACTGAGATCTTTATACTGTGTCGGTCTTTGAAACATTTTCGTCAGAAATCCTGGGTGAGTTTATTGCTAAAATTTAAAGAATATTAGGAGTATTTACGGAAAATAGAAATTGAAGCATCGTTGGAGGCGATAGATTAAATAGCAGATGAAAACGATGACTCAGAAATTATTAAAAGAGATATTTACCATGATGTCGAAGAGTTTCCTGCCGTATCGCTAAGGTTGACTTTATGTCGCTATTTCGCAGGAAGTACACGAAGTCTGTTCCCAAATCAAGGACCTCACCCCTGGTCGAAACTGCTTGCCACACTGAGGAGTAAAACAGGGTCAATAAATGGCAGAGTTAATGCAAATTAAACGCACCGGAGCTCCACACCAGTTTCCTAGGTATAATCGGGCGAAAAATTGATTTCTATTTGAAAAATTAAACTCCTCCCAAGCTTCCCGTAACTTCTAACTGCTACAGAAAAAACGTTTCTATAGCTCCACAGTAGGTAAAGTTTTGGCAGTAATTTTCATCGTGGCCAGAATTTTTAAGTACCGTTGGCATTCTTAAAGCGGCTTTATTGCAGTGAACAGCTCCGCCTGAATAGAAACTACAGTACGGAGAGCTGAATATAAAGCCATTGTTGTGGCATGGTGTGATGTCTCTAGGATTAGCTTAGTCCAATTTTTTCCGTTACCGCCTTACTACCAGTCGTAAAAGGACCAGAATTTACAAATAAAAGGCGAGTGGACCTTCCATAGAAGGTATATATCTATGTCGGGGTCTTTTAAACTATTATAATCTTATAATAGCTGAAAAGATACCGACCATGACTTTATCTATGTCTATTAACTATGAATGATTTCCTGATGCGATCTATCTGATTAAGATGACTAATACTATGACCTGGTTTCATTTATTGACATAATTAGGGGCTCTCTGAGAGAAATTGGTCTCCGACTTCAGAGAAAAGTTTGACGATATTTAATTCTTATTGAAGGTCTATTGGCATTCTTAAAGCGGCTTTATTGCAGTGATTAGGATAATCAATTCTTATTGAAGGTCTATTGAGCATATCTCTGTCTCTATTGAGCATATCCTTTATGAGGATGGTGTAGGTTACTTTTTCCACACAGTCGAAACCGAAGAGAAAAATAAAATAAAATGTATGGCCAGGCACCAGCTTTAATCTGAAGTCTTAGGTCAACGTATGTTTAAAAAGTACAAACAAAGTAAAAATTATTCTAAGTTGAAAACTAAATCACCATTAGTGACAGGAAGATCTGCTCGAGCTGACAGGATGAGAACACCCCAAAAAAAGTTACACTGATTCATGGGAGATTTATACAGAATGAAAAGTATTGCTACAAGTTTTCAACCGTTAGCCCAACTGTTATCACATCCGGTACCTCATCCAAATTTCAACAGGTGTTAGCTAAGAACACGAGATTCGAGGATGCCGAACATGTTAAGCAATAGTGCACTCGGGCAGAGAAGAGTTGTGCCCTACCATTTACCAAACATATTCACCCGTAGAAAGTATAATTGTTGTTATAAGCATCCGGCCATGCCACTATTCAAACAAGAGTGACTTGTTTTATGTTTCGTAAAATTCTTATGTACAAGTACGTAGATTTCGTGAGAACAAGTTCTGTGGAAACTAATAGTATTATTAGATGTAGATACTTTCTACGGGTGAATATGTTTGATAAATGGTAGGGCGCAACTCTTCTCTGCCCCTGTGCACTATTGGTAATAGCCAGGACTAAACAATCAGTAATGTTTGTAAGAGTTTAAATCAACTTTAGAGAGTAGAGTCTAGACAGACAGACAGTCGTCTTTTCGTGGGCAGTTGCATAGATAAAAGGTAAAACATAATCAAAAAATAAAATATGACTCATTATTGTAAACTTACAGTAGATGATAAAGATAAGCTGAGAGCACATGTAAGCCATGCTGCTTCTGGGATAACAGGTTATGCGCTGAAGATGATATGATATCCGCAAAGTACTGGTCTCTCTCTCTCACTGATCTTTTAACAATGTCTTTGCTCCTCTTTGATACAAAGGAAACTCTGGTAGTTGGTAACAAATCACTGTTTCATCCGCTGGTACCTAGTGGACCGGGCATGTCAGATATGCGTACATACAATAGAAAAAAACAGGACTAAAACAAATTGTAATATAGGGAGCTGACTGTCATCAGTCCTAATCTTGCCTTATTCAATTTGGGCGACTGTACTTTAGGTGGTACAAAGTACAGTACAAATTGGGTCGGCAACAATTTGGATTGGTGAACCTCGAGTAGATGTTGCAGAAAAACAAAGACTGGTCAAAGAGGTACGTGAATCCGCATGTTATGAGCGTTTCAATGAACACTTCGACATAATTAGCTTAAATAATCGCGTAAGGCCAAATAATCGCGTACGGCCGATAGGTCCCGTATACCTTACTCGGGATTATTACGACGGGTTTATTAACGACCGGTTAAAATATGGTTCGGGAAAAATATGGTGAAATTGCTCAAAACCCACCACATTTTCCCGGTCGCCATTTTACCGGTGTCCAACCTTTCAATTTTAGATTCAAAAATTTTGTCTCAGATGTAAATTTTCTTATTAGAGATAAGCAAGTTTAGAAATTTTCGCATTGCTAAAACTTGTGAAACAAGTCGAATTATCAATAATTGTTGAAAGTAGACAGAAATAATGACTCGTGGTTAATCAAACTAGATGGAAAATAATTTTTAACATTTGAAGCGTAACAACCAGATCGATATTAATTAAGATAAAGGGAGAGCTGTTTAGTCTTCCAATAAGTTGTAATCATTTTCGTTATCTTCATCTGGATCATCCCTTTCATCAGTTTTAATTAATTCAAGTTTTAATTTAACTGTTACTTTTACTTTGAGTCCTATTTCATTATGTAGAGATAGTCAATACCTAAGAAATTAAAAATTGGCCTATTTAAATCAAATTTTACAATAAGGATATATGACAAGAATTGGGCAAAAAGGTGAAATTTTTGCAATTTTAGCCAAATGAAGTCGAAAAACCTACAACAAGTGTCCCAATAGTCTTCTTTAGTGAATATAAGACAACGATTAAAATATGAGCACCCATACCCCTTGGGAACCCTAAAAGCTGAGTAGGCGGGTTTATTAACGACCGGTGAAAATGTGGTTCGGGAAAAATATGGCGAAATTACCCTAAACCCACCACTTTATCCCGGTCATAATAATCCCGAGTAAGGTATTTCATATTTTAGGAAATCGTATTTTACAAAAGTTGTTTAAACAAATTTAAATATTATTAATTTATTAGAGGACTTAACGTTGGGAATTCTTTCAGGTAGGACTAATTTCCAAGGCTTAATGAATCCTTAAATAATGAAACAACATTTAAAGCTAAGATAAACAAAGAAAATAAGCTGGCTCAATCCTTACCGATAGTGAAAATTTAATTTATTTTGGTTAATTCTATTCAATTCTAAGTAATTCTGCGGACGTGGAAAATTCATGGACAATTCTAAAAAACGTGACAAACGCCCCCGTTATGATAAGGGAAGCAATGACAAATGTATATAAAGTATATTATGAGATCAATAATGATATTTTGCAAGAAATGGTTCTATCAATAAACCGGGAAATTGTCAAAAAATCGATCTTATTTCCGTGAAAGTGTACATTGCAATGTATACTGTTGTAAAAACAAGAAATTGCCGCCAAATCGACTAAAAGTGTGATCAGATTTAATACAACTTTTGTAACGTTAATGTGGCTCCTACTATGTGTTGGTTCAGCCGAATTAATTATTTTATAATCAAGATTATTTTTCTAGTTTAGTTAGTTGTCATCCGGCCAAACAGTACCTATGCAAGTTATAATTATATTGCGATGGAATTTTTTCCGTTAGTTTTATATACAAAAAATATCAACCTAATTTTGCATGGCTGAAATGTAACGCTTGATTCTCATGTAACGCGTGATTCTCAGTAATCAATCGAATTTTCAAAAAAAATAAATAGGAATTTTAAATTTTAAAACCAATCTGGAAGCAAAACAAATTTTTCTCAGAATTGATATACTATTTGTCAACTGGACGAGTACAATTGAAACAAAGTCTCCTTAAAATGCGATTATGACAGTTAGTGTTAACGATCCGACCTGCGTCATCGTTAACTTGCTTTGTTGTTGTAGTTTAAAACCATAACAACAATTCCGCCTACTTATACACGTAGTGCTGTAAAATGTAAAGATAAGTGCAACTAAAATCTAAATGAATGTAACCTTGCACTAAAAGGGCTCTAAAAGATGCTGCGATACAAAACCTACGAAATTACTTTACCCTTGTGGATTATAATATGAGTTAACTATTTAACTATAACAAAAACTAACGCGTCAATAAATTTTAAAGCATCAATTTTGCTTAGAAATTGTTTGGACTGCTAAGGCTGTTTGGTGGACGTATGGTGGCCGTATTATGGCCGTATGGTGGCTTATTATCCTGGCCGGTTGTTTTCAATGTGAAATTAATTAAGATGAACCAAGAGAACTTGAGTGTTCGGAGTCCTCGAATGTTCGAAGTCCTCAATAACCGTCAGGTTAAAAGGGCCAACCAGCGAGGAGAAGAGCGGACAAAAATAGACTTCACCGTGTCCCCAATCCTAAAATGGGAATAACATATTCTGAAAAAGCGAACAAGCATTTTTGTATTTAAACATAATCGGCATGAAGAACAAAAGGTCAAAGGTTGCCCGCATGGTTCATCAAAGAAATCAAAAAATCTAGGAGTTCGGAATTTGGCATCCCTGTGCTGACAGTGTAGCAACTATAGTAACGGTAAATAGAGTATCGTACGGGGAGTGACACTAAACATGATCTGCTAACCACAACAAACGGCCTACCAGCACTTCAATGGAGTGGGCCTCACAAAGAAAGCTATAAATACTCCGTAAATCCGGTACAGAGATTACAGAGTCACGTGATAGTGTTAGGGGTGCATGCTCTTCAATCATGACGGATATTTCGGGGCATTTGTTGAATGTTGATACGGGGCCCGCTGCCGCCCAATCTCTCCAATCCCTCACGTCAGCTAAAACCGGTCATTTGTCAACTTTTTGAAGCATATCCGGAAACTTTAGCAATACAAAAATAGCGACGAGATCAGGCAGCGGCAAGAGCCTGGAGTTAATGATGTAATCACTTAATCTAGAGACAGGAATAGCCGAGCTAACAAGCTAAATTAAGACCGGTGACAGAACGTAAAACACAAAAGTTTGATCACTTCTGGTGACACGGGGAGCACGGAATTTCCCTCCTTACGAGGGATCCTTGCAATTGACGTAAGAGAGGGGGAGGGCGCATTATAAATAACTAAGTTTAATTAGCATAGCAGGAAGGTTTTTTATTACATTCCCGAGAATTTAAGTTAATGAATGTTAAAAGTCATTTCACGCTCCACCAAGTTGAATAAAGACCCGCATCTAGTTATCTCGTTCTGGAAACATGGAATGAAATCTAAACTTCTAGACGGAACAGCACGTGGGAGTGGCCGCGTTTAAAACCAAAATACCACATATCAAAAAATATACCAAAATACAGCATAAAATATTCTATTATAACGTTATTAATAAGCATAATTAATCATGGTGATAGCACAAGTTTATCAGGATTAAGAATGTTAACCTGATAACGCATAACCGGTAGAGCGAGACCCCCACAAGGGAATTCTCCGAATATGTTTTAACAGCTGATTTGCAACAGCTGCGAAAAGCAATTGAGTATACTGCGAAAATGTTTAGCGTCCGATAAACAACGCAGAGCTTGGACAAATTTCAATTATGTATCAGACTCTGAGGCGAGGTATCATGTTTAACAGGGTTTAACTCGAACCAGAGTGATTACTGCCCCATATAAACGTGAAGTCAAATTCCCAGGCCATAAAATCATGACACTGGAAAATTTGGTTTTCTTAAATCAGAGGAGATATGTCGTAAACACCCGATATAAAAGTGTACTAAAAAAAAGTTTTAAAACATAATTAGGACTAATGATTAAGCGTTGTAAATTAAAACGGGAGTCTACTCTGAGAAACTGTCAACCTTTGACCTTTGCCACATGCTCCTCGCTTATATATCTCCTGACCATTGTACCGTACTTTAAATCGCCTAATTCCGTGGAGCAAGAAATGAAATAATATAATACCATCTCTGGGTAAACACGCTAACTCCTGCTGATGACAGGTTCACCAAGAAAAAAGACGAAACCTAAAACTAATTGACAGGCTAAGGATACGTTGCTATTGCTATTCAATGACTTCTAACCATGACTTCATTTTCGTGGCGAGGATCTCCCGAAATTAAAAAGTAAGTAACCATGACTAAATATCCCAAATCTTCTGGTTTACATGTTAGGCAAAAATTATTAAAAAATTTGTATGTAGCTGTCTCAACTTTTAGTATATATTTTTTCGGTGTCAGACCACATAGGTATGATGGAAATGAAATTGTGGTAATCTTAGAATAGGGGCAGATCGGGGGTCCACATGAAAAAGGAAATCAATGGAATTTAATCAAAGGCATCACTATCTTACTTACTTACAAATTAAGTAATGGTTAAAAGTGACAAACCTAAAAGTCCGGTCTCGTACTTATAGTAGGCTAGCTCTGCTGAATTGGCGCCTGGTCGGAATAGAACAATAGCTTCGCTGATCCATATCACAAAGCTGTTTACACGTGCTTCCTCCCTCCTTCAAGCAATCCTGCACAAAGATCACAGGTACACCGCCTCCTCCTCCCACAGTCATCCCTGTAAAGGCCCTTCACAGCTTCCTGCAGGTGAAATAAGTTTTACGGGAAATTTAGTGGGATCAGGTTCTAGGCAGCTTCTGGCTGGGTCAAGTTTCAAGTTGAGCTGCCCGTCCTTTGTGATGTTTAGTTCGACTTTGTGTCAGGGTAGTTGGAGTTATATGTAAAATCGTTAACTTGAAGATTTCATGGCGCTAATAGATAGAGACTTGCTGACTTGCAAAGTATTAAATATATTACGGTAAATTGGCCTGTAAAAGACCCGTCCGTAAGATCGTCCGTAAGACCCGTCCTAAAGACATCAGATCGATTTCAATAAGAGGTTTTATTTCGTAGTTTCACGTCTTATGAGCAACAGCGTCAAGCAGATGAAAATAGATAGCCTAAAACAGATTATCATAAACGTGATGCCGTTTCATTGGAATGGGATCACATACCGATCTACCCGGTACACAGTCCGATACACTTCTCCAGTACCTCAATATATACGATCAACAAAAATCCATAATTTTCTAGAATACCTTATGTAGAATCACGGAACAGATAATTTGTGTGTCATATATATGATTTTTATTCGTTAAATAACAAGTCTATAGGATTATTAGTAATAAAAATTCGTTCCAGTCCCCCTCCGTTGAATATACATTATATTTTTTCAGGACATTAGAGAAGGAATTGATTTAATGTAGTACAAAGATTCCTAACTCTCCTTGCATCCTTAGATGGCGTTTCTCTTGTCTTATATATCCCCATCTTCATTCTAGACATACTATTATAAAAGCTTTCAATCTTTACTATCGTAAGCTTGCTCCCAACCTATTTATACCTAAACTAAAACACTAAGAATGGGGATGTTATTACAAAATAAAACACGGAATTTTACCTGCTAGTTGTCAGAAAACAGACGAACTGAGCTTTTCTGCATCTTCTTCATATCAAACTACGACGTTTAAGCTGGAACTTGCTAGGCCTATATTGAAGTTCCAGACAAGTCGGACTGAAACTGTCTAAGTGACAAATCATTCAACCTCAAGTGTAAGCAAATCATCCGGCTCAAATCAATCTACTAAAGATTGCAATGCGACTATCATGGAGATCGAAGTCTCAAAAGTATTCACAAAATACATAGTCACTCTCTCTCTCTGTCACGCCGACCAGAACTCGAAAGTATAGATGTCAGATCTAGACCTGCGTATTCCTGCAGTATCATTGTCCCCCGAAATATTTGAAAATTCGGGGAAATGTCTACCGCTCTACCCTAGATCTCACCTGGCTAGAATCCCGGAAGAATCTACAATTTCCACTTTACTGGGCTGACACTTTGGGCCCTCTGTTTTGTTCATTTGTAATTTATAAGTACATGTTTTTGTTGATATCTAACTTCGAAGGCAGATTTTCAAGGTTATCGATCAAGCATGCTTGAGCGACACATTTACTAAGAACACATTTTGAACCGCCTATTTTTCCTATCATGACTCAAATTGTAAGCTCCGACTTTCCCAGCCTGTGCTTTCTCAAGCATTATGCAAGGTCTATATTAGATGAAATTCATGTATGGAAGTTGTGATTTGCATTCATTTTGCGCCAATTTGGAGGCTCTAATCGCTCCCATCTTAGGTTCACTATTCATTATTTATAAGTATAACCTATGCCTCAAAACTGCTTCCAAATCCCAAGCGAAAACACAACATTAACACCCACCCTGCAATTACATTTCACATATTCTGCTAGTACTAGTAGGTACTGCAGGACTTCATATCCGATTTTATGTCGCTCATTGACTCTTTTTATTTTCTTGTAAAATAAGCGACTCCAAACTTCCAAAGAGTCATGAAAAAGATTGTACAGTAAAACCCTGATTTACTGCACGCCGATTAACCACAAGCCCTGATTTACCGCAGCCATTCCTTTCCACAAATAGGGCTTAACATAAATAATAATATAATGTAAACAATCAAAACCCCGTTTTACCGCAAACCCCGATTTACCGCGCCTTTTTCCTTTCTCCCTAACTCCGCGGTTAATCGGCATATAACTGTACAAAATTTAATAATCATCGTGTGCTTCATGATGTACCTATGCATCCTGAGCAGTGAGCAGTCAGCGATGAAAAAAGAGCAATTTTATTCCAAGACGGATGTTCACATAACGTTTCATTGTGTTGTCATTGTGCATACTTTATCGGTTACAAACTACTCCTCACCCGGGTCACACTATGCGCGGTTATAATTCTGCATGGTTAAACTTATGCCCGTTTAAAATATACAGTAATGCACGTTTAGGCTATTTCCGTGCACGTTACAACAGTATGAAGTTCAGCCGATGAGGTAGATGAGGTAGATGAGGTAGATGAGGTAGATGGTAGATGGTGATGAAGCGCGACCAAGGTGCAAATGTAACCGGATCAGGAGGATCATCTGTTAACTGTTCACCTCGTCAGACTAGTGACGTGTCTACACTCTACAGTGTAATATTCCTATATTATAATGTACTTCCTTACGATCTAGTTCCTAATATAGTGCGTGTATTAGTGTGTTGTTGTTAGCTGCAGACTACAGAGTAACAGTAGCTCCTGACTTTGTTTGTTGTTTGTACCGGGTCTGTATTTAAACGGCATTACCGCTCGTCACGTTAGTACGTCACGTTAGTACGTCACGTTAGTGCTTCACGTTAGTACGTCACGTTAGTACGTCACGTTAGTGCGTCACGTTAGTACGTCACGTTAGTGCGTCACGTTAGTACGTCACGTTAGTGCGTCACGTTAGTACGTCACGTTAGTACGTCACGTTAGTACGTCACGTTAGCACGTCACGTTAGTACGTCACGTTAGTACGTCACGTTAGCACGTCACGTTAGTACGTCACGTTAGCACGTCACGTTAGTACGTCACGTTAGCACGTCACGTTAGTACGTCACGTTAGTACGTCACGTTAGTACGTCACGTTAGTACGTCACGTTAGTACGTCACGTTAGTACGTCACGTTAGTACGTCACGTTAGTACGTCACGTTAGTACGTCACGTTAGTACGTCACGTTAGTACGTCACGTTAGTACGTCACGTTAGTACGTCACGTTAGTACGTCACGTTAGTACGTCACGTTAGTACGTCACGTTAGTACGTCACGTTAGTACGTCACGTTAGTACGTCACGTTAGTACGTCACGTTAGTACGTCACGTTAGTACGTCACGTTAGTGCGTCACGTTAGCTCGTCACGTTAGTGCGTCACGTTAGCACGTCACGTTAGTACGTCACGTTAGTACGTCACGTTAGCTCGTCACGTTAGTGCGTCACGTTAGCACGTCACGTTAGTACGTCACGTTAGCTCGTCACGTTAGTACGTCACGTTAGTACGTCACGTTAGCTCGTCACGTTAGCTCGTCACGTTAGCTCGTCACGTTAGCTCGTCACGTTAGCTCGTCACGTTAGCTCGTCACGTTAGTGCGTCACGTTAGTGCGTCACGTTAGTGCGTCACGTTAGTACGTCACGTTAGTACGTCACGTTAGCTCGTCACGTTAGCTCGTCACGTTAGTGCGTCACGTTAGTGCGTCACGTTAGTACGTCACGTTAGTACGTCACATTAGTACGTCACGTTAGTACGTCACGTTAGTACGTCACGTTAGTAACCTAGCGCGGTCACGTCCAACAGGAATATGAACATTTCCGCATTTTAACTCCACGATTAATTATTAGAGATAATCAGCTGGTGTTAGTGTTATGAAGACAGTTAGGTTTATGGTAAAAACCAAAGTATGGGTGTAAAGTTACGTTTGAAGCTATTATATTACAATTGAGGGGTGGAACTTCAGAGTATCAGATGTTTCATACACTGTTTCATTTAACGTCGTGTGGTGAAATGTCAGATGTAACACCGTTCACTTCCAATCACCGTATCTGATCATATCATTATTTGTTGTGATTTTCAGTTCGCCAGTTATGCCCAGATAAGAAGGCTGATGATCAAAACTTATATAAATTACTGAATGGGACCGTAAGAAGGAGCATTTAGTTTGTGTATAACTTGTGTATAACTCGTGTATAAGTTCCATGTGATAAAATATTCTTCATTTTTGTCCAGTTTCGGTTTATCGTTTTTCACATAAAGTTCTCCACATGATCTGAAAGAACAAGCATGTATGTTGATGCATATAGACATTAGACAGGGTACAACAGTGATGCTTCATCGGACATGATCGTGTGTAAATTGTCAGTAAAATGTAGAATGTAGAATGTAGAATGTACATTGAACATTATACATTGTACATAGTATGTCATCATGAGAAAGTGTACGTGAGTAAACTTTAATTGCTGGCCCCTGGACTATCATTTTATCTGTACACTCCACTGTTTGATCTCAGACCTGAACAATTGGTACCGAGTTGGATGTGACTTGTGTGACTTTGTGTAAAATTGCTCATCATCACATATCGGAGGATCGAGTTTCCTAAATGTCGCGTATATTACCTGATAATAATATAATCACACACTTATTGTGTACTGTAGTTGTACTACACTTAATAATATGTGCATCAGGTGTTTGAGTCATAATTCCAGCTTTTCATTGAGCTGTGAATTGTAATTCTGATTTGTTTAGATTGGTTTGGTTGTCGTACGCCAGCACAAATAAGCTTTAGAATGCCTAATTATTAAACCACTTTATATGGCGTTTAGTTTAAGAAAATAGTTTTTTTGAATTATAATCATTCCAGTGTTTTGCTGCTATTAAAGTGTGATTGATCGAACAGTAAAATGCTGTTCAAAGCTTCAATAAATAGGGTACTAGTGCTAAATGGATTTATTCTTGGTTGACCATGATAGCCCATGCCCCTTACCATTTTAACCATTTACAACACCATTCGTTGATCGTGCCATAGCAATATATCAATATAGTGTCCACAGTAGTTACCATAGCAATATATCAATCGTGTCCGCAGTAGTTTTGTTTATTGTTGACACGTAAGCTGATAACTTTAATTTTAAAAGATCTGGTAGTATAGGAAATTGCAAAAGTTAATTCTCGACCTCGTACCCACATTTATATTTAGGGCGGGTTCACATCTTACGTCACTATCTTAGGGGGAGAGGGTTTAGAAATTGGCTGAAATGGTGACCAGGTGACCGCTAATGTAATATTTCCATGCAATAGCCATGTTTAAACTTGCAGAGGGTGAAGAGGGTTTTAAAATGGCAACATCTTGCTTACGTAATAATATGTGAATGGCCTATGGATTGAGATCAGTAATGATATCATAAAAAGTCATCATCAGTCCAAATTGACAGTTAACTCATCCAAAGGTAGAATTTTAAACACCTGATGATCTGATCTTGAAGCAATACTGAGCTGGCTAGAACTAAAAGAGAAGAGAAGATAATCACAACAAAGCCTTTGAGCCTGAAGGCATGGTGAGCTGCGAGGAAAGTGCGGAGGTGTTAGAGTTCTGGGAGTATAATAAGACCAACTTGGGCCCTAATTTCCTTCAGACGGCCGAGTGCCCTCCTCCTGAGTGGCTACCTCTTCTCATCATAGGTTAGTTACGTTTATAGTCATAAATTAGTCATAATACTAGCAGGAACCCGTCTAACCCTAAAGTGGTGTCAAGACTCAAGAGACTAAAATAATTATTAGGTACCTATTTAATTCGCATTTTTGACACCACTTGGGGATCCAAATTTTGAGCTCTAAAACTCCTATTTCTTGACCAATTTTTTATTTTTTCATGCTGATTTGAAGGCCATTAAAGCATTTGACCCAGCCAAAAAAGTTTCAGTTTTATATCTTTTACGGTTTTTGCGGAAAGTCGCGTTAAAGTTGATGCCGTGGTGTCAGTAAAATGCCACGGAACCATATATATCGTCTCGCTTTATATATAGTAAGATTTTACTGAACTAAGGTGTAGTATTGCCAGATCCCAGTTCAATTTGTAACGGAGTTTTATATTAACAGGAAACGATGTAACAGAGTCGATATATCTTGATGTTGCCATGGGGTGGCAAGTGCCCATACATCGTGATCCGATAGTTTCATTGCGTCCTAATATACGAAGATATGAACGTTAAGGGGATACTTGAAATAAAACGGAACTATACAAATCTCATTTATAGGCATGGAATCTGTTCAAAATAAGGACGAAAATACTTTCTTTGATTTTCCAGATTCACTACAAATTACTATTTCATTTGGCTCTTGCAATGATCAGGACGGCACATGCACTCGCCACTCTTTCGCAACTGGAATCTACTCACATGACTCCGTTACAATTCTATTTTAATACCGTGCCCACCCGACCGTAACTACTTTACACCTGGCCACTGAACCTCTCGCCTCAGTGGCCGGGTCCCGTACAAATTGACAGGAATCTGGGCGGAGTGGAGTGATCTAAATCACACCCAGATCACTATAAATGGATATGAGAAATGAACAATAGAATGAAAATATTTGACATGACAAAAAGACAGACATGAGTAGTTCCCAATGAGATCAGCGATCACGTTGTCCAGCTCTCAACTCTCATAAGTCACGTGGTTCAAATTACATACTTCACGTGCCCACCTAGTTCTCTAGTCCCCACCAGCTTACCAAGTTCTTACTTCTCCAGATAATAAACATTCCAACTGTTTGAAGGCCGTGTATACTGGCCGTAACTAATTGCTCATTATCCCCAACTAACCTCCCCAACTAACCTCCCCAACTAACCTCCCAACTAACCTCTCCAACTAACCTCCCCAACTAACCTCCCCAACTAACCTCCCCAACTAACCTCCCCAACTAACCTCCCCAACTAACCTCCACAACTAACCTCCCAAACTAACCTCCCCAACTCACCTCCCCAACTTACCTCCCAAACTAATCTCCCCAACTAACCTCCCCAACTAACCTCCCCAACTAACCTCCCAACTAACCTCCCAACTAACCTCCCCAACTAACCTCCCAACTAACCTCCCCAACTAACCTCCCAACTAACCTCCCCAACTAACCTCCCCAACTAACCTCCCCAACTAACCTCCCCAACTAACCTCCCCAACTAACCTCCCAACTAACCTCCCCAACTAACCTCCCCAACTAACCTCCCCAACTAACCTCCCAACTAACCTCCCCAACTTATCTCCCCAACTAACCTCCCCAACTAACCTCCCCAACTAGCCTCCCCAACTTACCTCCCCAACTAACCTCCCAACTAACCTCCCCAACTAACCTCCCCAACTAACCTCCCAAACTAACCTCCCCAACTAACCTCCCAACTAACCTCCCCAACTAACCTCCCCAACTAACCTCCAAACTAACCTCCCCAACTTATCTCCCCAACTTACCTCCCCAACTAACCTCCCCAACTAGCCTCCCCAACTTACCTCTCCAACTAACCTCCCCAACTAACCTCCCCAACTAACCTCCCAACTAACCTCCCAACTAACCTCCCCAACTAACCTCCCAACTAACCTCCCCAACTAACCTCCCCAACTAACCTCCCCAACTAACCTCCCAACTAACCTCCCCAACTAACCTCCCAACTAACCTCCCCAACTTATCTCCCCAACTAACCTCCCCAACTAACCTCCCCAACTAGCCTCCCCAACTTACCTCCCCAACTAACCTCCCAACTAACCTCCCCAACTAACCTCCCCAACTAACCTCCCAAACTAACCTCCCCAACTAACCTCCCAACTAACCTCCCCAACTAACCTCCCCAACTAACCTCCCCAACTAACCTCCAAACTAACCTCCCCAACTTATCTCCCCAACTTACCTCCCCAACTAACCTCCCCAACTTACCTCCCCAACTAACCTCCCCAACTAACCTCCAAACTAACCTCCCCAACTTATCTCCCCAACTTACCTCCCCAACTAACCTCCCCAACTTACCTCCCCAACTAACCTCCCCAACTTATCTCCCCAACTTACCTCCCCAACGAACCTCCCAACTTACCTCCCCAACTAACCTCCCAACTAACCTAGCCCCACTTTCCAACCAGCGGGTGTCATGTGGCTAGCTACTCTGATAGTGACCTTGGTCAGCACTAGCAGGTTCGATTCCTACAGATGGAGCAAGACGTTTATTTATGTCATGACGAGACGGGTGCTCTATTACTATGTACTTTACTCCTTGCTTAATGTTTTCGGTAAGTTTCACATATCATAGTTACTACTAATTACTTAATAAAAAAAACCCTTAGCTCCACAGTCCACACCAGTCGCTAGAAAATAAAAATATGGCTGATGAATTATAGTCAAGAACTAAATGACTGAACCGAGAGACCCCATACAACAATTACAAAATATCCACTGAAAGTTGCTGCAATTGCAGTGATACTGAACGCTAAAGGAACTCTCGTGTACACGTACCTGGGTGATGTGCTGGAGGCGCTGTGCTTTCTCAACTTCTACATGCTCATCTGGTCTTACACAGGTAATTAGATCTAGTTACCTTTCTTAATTTGCAATTAGTAAACACTAAACATAGTGCAACATAGGGCACGTTGCTAGGCAACATAGGGCACATTTCTAGGCAACATAGGGCACGTTGCTAGGCAACGTAGCGCACGTTGCTAGGCAACATAGGGCACGTTGCTAGGCAACATAGGGCACGTTGCTTGGCAACGTAGGGCACGTTGCTAGGCAACATAGGGCACGTTGCTTGGCAACGTAGGGCACGTTGCTAGGCAACGTAGGGCACGTCACATTAATACATTAGTTTATTTTTTGTCTTTTTTTTCAATCTATGAAATTATCTTTAATTGACTTTAAGGGTATATAAGACAGTTGAAACTGAAAGTATTTTATAACTAACTGATGCGGGAAAAGCGAATGTGCTTAACACTGATATTTGGCAGCTGGCAACCGGTTGCTAACCTGTTTCTAACAGATTGGTACCCGGTTGATTACTATTATACTATTCTATTCTTACATACACCTATTATAAACGATCAGAATATATTGTCCGTTCCAGTATTCGTATTTTTAAATGTTCCCCATTGTAAATAAAAGTAGTTTTTAAGTATTTAGTATTTTTGTAATTCTATTTCTCTACTTATTGTTTTAAATGGAGATTTTGTCCACGACTGTTCTAATCTATTGTTGTATAATTGCTAATGAAAACTCCCCTTAATTTTTAAGTATTCAGTATTTTCGTCCAACAAAGGTACCGCGTTTTACGTGCCACATACACCGGGCCGCTGCCATTGTAAAAGATAGTCGGAATATTAATTGCAGAATGTCGGCTATAATACGATAATAATGGCCATAATTTGTGAGAAAAATTTAATAATAAATAATAAATTTTATCATTTTTAATCAAAAATCCCAACATTCCTGTTGCATCATCCAGCAAATTTAAGACAGTTGGAACCAAAATTGTCTTTTGTAATTAAATTTAAGCAGCTCAGGACAATTAAACTTAACACTTTAGTGTCTCCTTATTAAGTGTATTTTAAGTTCGCCTGTCGCAGTTTCTTAAGAATTGTTCCTTTGTCCAACAAACGAACACATTTATAAATAGTAAACTAAATCCGAACAGTTCCAAGAACTTTTCGGATTCAAAATTTTTGGAACCTCTCCGAACTTCTCCAATTAGATCGTAAATTGAAATATTTAAATCAGGTGGAATCGAGCAGACGATGAAAAAGATGATAGGACTAGAGCTAAATTTAGGACAACCTCCTTTCTGTTGGCTTTGTTGCTTTCCCAACATTAAAATAAGCGAAAGATTCCTATGGTAAATTTGAGATTATTATTGATTACACACAAATTGTTGAAATATCCTATCCCTATGTCTATCCATTTTGCCCTGTTTTTGCCCCAAATATTTGACAGCAACAAAAGAAATTGTTGAGATAACGTAAAGTAACTCAAGTAACTTTACGTTTTAAACTAATTACAACACTACAAATCTATTACATTTATTGAGTATTATGTAACGCGATGGAAATATTTTAAGCGGGTAATATCCTTTCCAAACCCTGGATAATAACAAGACTTTGTTGTATAAAAAGCATTAAAAAGTAACTTGCTCCAGGTGGATGGAGAAGCTGCTGCAGCAGTTACCGGGTGTACAGGGTATAGTGGGGTTAATCTACGCAACTCTTGTCAGTAGCGGTGTTTCAGCCACTATTTTCCAGCATTGGGCTACCACTACTCTTTACAGTAAGTCAGATTAGGGTTTATAATAACAACGTGATGGAACATGCACAATATATTTCAATAGTTTAAAACCAACCTAAATTTTCGTACTTGTAATTTTTAATTGAACCTATAGTCGAATGTTTTAGCGGGTACAACACTACTTGCAGGTTTTGATACAAGGTCAGCTACACGTCACATCTTTACAAAATCATATAAACCTTCCCTCAGTAATAATGAATACCCCCCAATAATATAAACCTTCCCCTCAGTAATCATGACGGTATCGTTTATGTTCTCTATGTACGCTATCGGAATCCTCTTCGCTTGCTTGTCTCAGTTTGTGGTTGAGAGAAGCATCAGGGCCAAGTTTGCTGTTTTTAAGATAACAATCGTCCTGGCCAAAGTTCAGGGAATAATCCTGTCATTATGCAGTAGCTCCGTTGACACGCACGGGTAAGTCGAGTTTGAGGGTGGTAGATATTATTGATTGAGCGATAAACGATTGACATGTGTTTACAAGCGTAACTAAACGCTGAAAGCCTCAATTTATGGCTTTTTATTGACTTATAAATGAATGTATTTATTTCTAAAAAGATTATGGTCATAATATAACGACTCGTAGATGACTGAACATTTATTTATATGCCAATACAGATTGCCAATCTGTCAGATTGGCCTCTGAAATTACCCCCGGGTATTTATAATTCAAAATCATTCTTAAATGACGTCTGTGTACAACATCCAACTTTTCCAAGACAGCCTTAGGTGCAGCCCAACAACTGGAGTTATACATTAACACAGACACTACCATGGCTTCATACAACATGAGTCGCTTTTGCAGAAGTATCTCGTTAGTCCAGGCTTTTTGATACTTATTGAAAGCAGCATAGCCTAAACTAATACTACGCTGAATATCTGCCTTACTGCAAAACATGGATCCCAGTGTGATGCTTCTCCTCCACTCCTCACTACCGTTTCCCCTGAACGCGCTTCAGATTTTCTTTATCTCCATCATTGAAGTCGACATCATCTGCATATTCAGTGTCAAGGGGAAGGCCTTGACTAGTGATGGGTGGATCTGGCCTGCCCATTGTAGTAGCGAGGATGGTTCAGAGTTCACAGAATGCACCTGCAAGTACAAGTGTAAACAGACACCCAGATAGGCAGTCACCCTGAAAAGCGCCCAGCAGACTCAGAAACTGAGCTGATAGCGTCCGGGCCGGACGCTGCGTCCCGTTAACGTTTACTCTAACAACTGTGTTGGACAATTATTTAATGAATATTTAAAAGTTAAGTCGCACGTACACACTTTTTAAACTTAGTTGACGTTTATTAAGTTATTACTCGCAACTCTACTTAATTATTTGAATTTTAATAAGCTTGGTTTTAAAATGTCTCGCGGTAATTCTGCCGACTTTTTAAGAACTTTAAAACACTTGGTCTTTTAAATAATCCCATTTGTCTTGATACGTCAAGGATGTTTATTTATGGTATTTCTGTCGACTATAAATACCACAAGTTTAACAATAAGACAATTTGTGGCTTTAAAATAGCCCACGTTTAGTAGTATATTTTTGGCATTTTTACAATTTATATCATTTAGCAAATTTCAAATTGTCCGAAAATGTATCCCGACTATCCTAAACTTATTATACTGATAGTTGGATAATATCCGGTTGGAAGAGACAAGGACAAATGAATCAGGAAATTAGGAATGTAGGTAAATTTTCGGCGTCAACGCCATGTTCAGACTCAAATTATGTGTTGCAAGTATTAAAACTATTATCCAACTATAAGTATTTCAGTCATGGGACTAATAAACAGCGAACTACTCCATCATTTGATAAACAGATTATACCCGCAGTTAGTAACCATGGTAACCCGCAGGTATTACTCCAAAGAGAACAGGACAGACATGTGGAACGCCTTCATAGTCTGTGTAGAGTGCTTGGTACTAAGCATAGTGGCTAACTTCCTCTACAAGAAGTCTGACTACGATACCGGCCCCCTGGCACCTGTTCGGTTAGTAAACACAAACATATTTCTTATTAGGCGTTGGGTCTTAAAGTTGAAGTCTGCTTTGGGGGTCGTAGCTCGACATCAGGATTAAAGGCTGTGATGTATAAATAACCTTGATTTTCAGTTTTGATTCAAATTATAAGCAACCTATTATAGGTGCGGTAAAATTTAGCAAATAGTGCGTTCCAGCACCCGGCATAAATTTATCTTTTGTGCGGCAAATTTAGAGGAAAAACACCGCGATCTAATACTTTACTCTTAAATATTTGCTCAAGAAACTTCAATATTATTTTTGGATAATTTTAAGATTGAACTGTAACTTCAGAGTAAAATTAAACACTGTGCGTGGTACACATTTTTGGACTTACATATATATTACACGTATATTTGTTGAGACATATTTTTGGAAACAAAATAAAATACTGAACAAGGGAGAATGTTGAGACAAGAGAGTCCAGCTATCCCTCTTATAGACCTGCTCTCTCTCTCTCTGCTCCAGTTTGCTAACATTCAGTTTTGCTCCATGCCAGCTCAGGGACTTTGAGCCTCTGGAGACTGGGACGATACTTCAGCAAATTCATACCACATCTAATTGAACTTAATCTTGACCTCAGCTGAGGATAATTCCCAATGTGTCAAATGTGATCCTCAGGTCAGGATAATTCTTTGCCATTTGCATCTTAACCTTGAAGAATTCTTTCATCAGATACAAGAAGGACGTGGATGAGATAGACGAGTTAGAGAGTGGAATGGAAGAAGTTGACCTCGGAAAACCCTCTCTTGTAATACAGAATCCGAACATATAGATCCTCCAGTCAGAATATTGGACCGATTAGCACAGCTAGTATTTTGTCGCATATATCTTGCCACAGCCGTACAGAGTCAAAAGTAGCTCATCAATAAGGGGCCATCTACTTAGGATGTCCGGCAAATAGGGAGGGGGGGGGGGGGTTTGGAAATTCGGACACATCCGGACAGGGGGAGGGAGGGTGGTCTGAAAATCTGCGATGTTGGCGGACGTCCTAAGTAGATGGCCCCTATACTAAGCGACATGGTGTGACTGGCCTGCTGAGCCCCCTTCAACCTTGTGTCAATCATCAGCCAACTGGATAGGGTCACTCATATTGTAAATATATATCGTAACATTCATAATATATATAACATTCATAATATATATAACATTCATAATATATATAATGAAATAAATTTAGACAGTTTTTAGATGAATATTTTGTAATTATTAGGTTACCATATTTTAGAATTTGATTACCGAGAGATGTTTATATTGACGACTTCATATTGTATCGTATTACATTTTGATAAAGTTTAATTTAATCGTCGTGATAATATGCTGATTATCTCGGAAATCGAATTTTTATTTTGTTCCTGTACTTAAGTATTAGTAGTAGTAGTCCAGTCATTTATGGACATGTATGGAAATGAACCTGCAAATTTTCAGATACTCCCGAAAATTTGCACAGACCTTCCCAAAGGTATGAATACAAGATTTTCGGTTGAAGACATTTTTTACCGTGGGAAAACCCAGGAGGGCCACGCCCATATTGACCCAATGACGTAACTGACCCTTTGCTTCTGAAGGTCGTAGAGACTTCAAAGTAGGCTTAATCGAAGCCGCATATGCATGTTTATATAGGAGTTATTGATCAACACATGGCCTAAAATCCTTACTTTTCGAGAAATTAACCAAAAACCATTTTGGGCGTGGCGCTGAGCCCATTTTACTAACTATTGATAGGATCATGAGACAGTCTTCGGATAGGGTTTAAAAGAACCGCATGTGTTTACTTTTTCAGTTATTGGCGAAAAACTGATTTTCGGTTCCAGAAATCATGATCATGCAAAAATATGGGTATCTGGTAAATTGGGATATGAAGGTCCTAGAGATTTTTAAATGGGTGCAAATTGTTAATTGTGCAAAATGACTATATTTATAAACAACTTATGAAGCAACATGTACCCTAAAATGTTGGTTGACGATGTCAACCCATCGAAGCAGAGCAACGATCGACGATCTTCGATGCGAAGCAAGAATGCTAGTTCGCGCGGCGCGTCGAAGCGGCGAAGTCCTCCAACCTTGTCATACGTTGTATGACCCGCCGCGCACGAAGTGCGCGGCTCCCCCTGTATCGTCGAAGACGATACTATGTCGTCGAAGACGATACTATTAGTGTATGTACTAAGAGCATCAACTTGCGGGTGAACATTTTATGTCTCAAAACCCAACATATTATACATCATTGGAAAGGTCTCATTGAGTAGAATCGTTTGGTACCAAGTTTTGGGCAAATGGCTGTTCCTAACGAAAGTTATAGCCCGTCAAAGTTCCAAAAATGACCATTTAAAAAATGGGGCGGGGCATCGTGTTCTTAAATTTTTTTACGAAATTTTTTTACAGAATATTGTTAATCACATTTTTTTACACAAGATTTGCTGTATGCCGTAATTTTATTTTCCGATATTTGAATCAAAAATAATTTTTATTTGGATTTCAAAGTACGCGCTACGCCGCGCAGTTAGAAATCGCAATAAGGAGATTTAACCAAATTTTTTGTTGCGCCATTTTTATTCTCATATCAAATATGCGCTGATACTTTTCGGTCGAATTTCTTTTTGTTGCCGCTCATAGCAATTAGCAGAGAGCCTCAATGCACACACCGTATATTTAGTTTGATAGTAGTTGTTTTGTTGCACATTGTAATGCAGATGTTACTAAATGATCTTGAGAGGGTATTTAATATAACTGAGTTAGTGTTACTGCGTTTTGGCTGCGATGTGCTGGAGACTACTAGAAACTTGTTCTAGTATAGAATAGCTTAGTGGATCAGGATGTTGCTAAATTAAATCCCTTGTTACACTCGTATAGTTCTGGACAGGATTTGAACGTTTTACACTTTTATCAGATCATTTCAATCATGCTTCATACCGAAATTACAATTAACCCATTCAAGCCTTGTATAACAATAACGGACAGTATTCTGTGTTAGAAAAAATATATGTACTTCCAATCAAATCGTGCAATTTCCTTGGTACACAGGTGCACATTCTTTGATGCCCGAAATGCATTCCAAGCTCTAGATATCTGCCTTCAATAATGGCCTATAATCACATTTGCCAAAAAACAGCTGCTTTGTAATGCTGGTGTGTCCCACTTAGTTTGATTATCTTAGTTAAGCCGTAATATCGAACTCGAAGACCTGTTTCGTTATTATTTCTTGAAATGCAGGTATTTGAAGGTTTTGAAGCAATTTTTTCAATTAATCTATTTTCCTGGTGTAGAAACAGACCTAACTTGATGTATATTGTTTATTCTAATTAAAGTATATTTGAATTTAAAATATGAACTTCAAATATCATTATTTCTAGCTGAACCAGAATTTCCTTTGGGACGAGATGCTTTCCGGACAAACATTATTGTATGCTGATATAATAATTAACAACCGATCCTATGGGCTGAAATATGTAAGTACTTTGTTCAAGCTTGATGTGACCTTTTTTATCTTAGTATACTTTTGACTGCTTTAGCTCAGCCTTTATAATAAAAGATAACCTCTTACCAAGCGATTGTGGAGAGAAATGACAGTCATATTTACCATTACCATTTTACAACTATTTAACAGTACCACCAACTGACTGTAATTTTCAAGCAAGAATTATTACTGATGAAAACCCATTAAATACCTAAAACTGCGTTGTACAAACACACTTGTTTATTGATAGTTAACATTAAGGATGGTTGATGCCTGTTAAGTTCATTACAGTGGAGTTCCCACTTACGAGTGTTGGCTGAGAGGTGGCGCGCCTGAGAGGTGGCGCGGTGTATGCAGAGTATGATAATGTCAGCCTTACTGCGGACGCGATAATTCAAACGTAATGAAAGCTAATGTCAGCTGCGCCGCAAGGCTGACATTATCATACTCTGCATACACCGCGCCACCTCTCAGGCGCGCCACCTCTCAGTTTACCACTCGTAGGTGGGAACTCCACTGTTATGCTCATCTACTTACCAGTTTATTTACAGCCAATTCTTATCATTGTGACTTTAGCAAGTGGATATTTTCAATGCAACATTTAAACATCGTTTTTAGGCAAGATTGGGCAATTTGGTTTTGATCACTGGATTGATCACCAAAAGTTAATTAATTGAATAATAATTTGAAACTAAATCATTCGAAATCACTGATTGAGTGCCATTGATTGAGTGAAGAAATCACAGATTAAGTGCCAGGATCATGTATCCGTGCCAGATCTTAAAATGGTCATAACTCGGCTTAGTTGTAAACAACGAACTTGAAGTTATAGGAAAGCACTTCAATTATCAAAACAAGTCCAAATGTGTCTGGAAATTTTGGAGTTCCTAACTCAAAACGTTCTCAATTTATGGTGACAATAGAGAAAAAGAGGGAGTGTACAACCCTATACAATCTCACTAGTGACAATATACCTTTAGAATTTTAGAAATAAGTGCTCTATATTCGTTTCCTCCTTCAAATAGTTGATTTGGTCATTTACTTTTGAAACACTGAGACAGTCTGAGTTCTTTAGCTTTGATCAGTATCTGATGAACGGTGCTAGAGTTTCAAAATGATACTTTGACAGCTCTGGGTTTTTCAGCAGACATATTCCCAATTTGAGCAGCTTCGAAGCGTGGCTTTTCTGCAATTTGTTCAAACACATCACAAATTTGATCGCCAAGTTTCTCTCCTGTATCCTCCTTGAGACTAAAAATGAAGACATTTCTGCAATCTGCTGCGATCTTCTTCAGCTACAACATTCCAAACTACTTTCTTCAAGTTTTCTGCCGTGAAAGTGGAGACAGAGCTGGGGGAAGGGTTTCCTCTGCATTTTTTGCTGATTTCTGAGCACTGATGATTTCACTTTTCATTTCCTCTATCTTTTTATTCGTGGAGAATACGCTGATATTAGACAATACCCTAAAACGCATCAAAAAGGTGCTTTACTAGAACGTCCTTGTTTGGTTTCTTGAACTTCTCGAATGTGATATCACTATCTTCATCAAAGTTTATTGTCTTCATTACCTCAACCCAAATACCAAGATCATTAGAAGCATCTGAAAGCTGGTCGAAATGTTTACTTGACTACATTAGAGAGTCTAAGTACACATCTTCCATAACGTACTCACAATTGTATAGCACCGGACACAAAGTAGCAGATAAGTCGTCGAATTATAGCAATAAGAGATGCACATGTAAGAAATGTAGTAAATCAAAGTTTTCACTTTTTAGTCCCCGTCGGATCACATGATTTCTCTCATAGAATTGGTTCCCAATTAGTGGTTTTACAGTACCGTCGAGCTAGAATAAAGACTCCATATGAATGTGTTAAGTATTGTTAAGCTAGGATCTTAGCATTAAGCAATAAGGTGTCAGAGAGCTAAGAGATGACAGGGAGTGATAGACAAGGTTCGACCGGGATCCCGGTTTTATCCCGGATTTTTTGAAAAACTGAAGTTTAAAGCAAAATTATTTACCAATTAATAAACAAAACACTGTCAGAGTCAAGTGCCAATTTGTTGGGTAAGCTGTGCTTGTGCTTTTTATCAGTTGCGGATACCATATTTTAGTGTAAGTGTTAAGTGCTGGTTTTCTTAGCTATGATCCCGGTCCCAAATCTGGCTGAATCCCGGTCCCGGCGTATACCTGGTTCCGGCACTCCTTTCCAGTCCCGGCCAAAAAAGCAGTCCCGGTCGATCCTTGGTGACAGAAGGGGCGGTAAATAATGTTTTGTTTCTGATATTGGTCAAAGAGCGTACTGTATAGCATTGAACCTACACAGTTTTAGTACCCCTCACTTGAGTACTTGTGAACCATAGTCCATGACCACTAATTGGGAACCAATTCTGTGCGGAGAGAAACCATGTGATCCGACGGCCAAGGGGACCAAAAAGTGAAAACTCTGATTTACCGCACTATTTATCTTTCCCCAAACTGTACTGTAAGTCGGGGTTTTACTGTATATATTATCACGAAGATCAGCCCAGGCTAGTAATTGCCATCCTGATATTTAAAGTAAATACCATTTTATTTAGAAAATAAGTGCTTACTTTCTATCACCATCTTATAAGTAATACTAGGCAAAATAGTGATACGTATACATATATAGTGTAGAGTGCTACATAGAGATCAATTGTTTCATCTTAAGTTTGTTACGCAGCTTACGCTCATACCTGGTAGTGGTAGTGGTACCAGTAATAGTGATAGATTGCCCGACCCTAATCGTGGGTTTTAATCACGTGCTTCATGCTTGTTATAGGTGGTTATCAGCTGTTATGTTCTAAAAATTATAGCGCTCATTGTAAGACGTAGGTTCAATGTTGGTATGGTTTTAATTAAATTAGTTACCCAGAATTTTATTAAGATATTGTGACGTAATAGCTTTTTGAGTTCCGTTATTTTGTTTAAGTGTAATTGTTATTCAAAACATATAATTTCAGGTGTTAAAAGCTTGGAGCAAGACACATTACGATCGATGGCGTTCGCTGACTGATGCATTGCTATTTACTGCTGACTAGCTTATCCTTTTGTTGCCTCTAATCAGTGATGAACACCAATTAGAATCAATCGATTTAATTCACAGGATATTACGATTGTTTACAAGGGCCCTAGCACCTGTAGTTTAAGTTATTCGATTCGATTTTTATTAAATAACGCCGTTTTTCTTTTTCTGATCTATTATTAGAGCTGTCAATGTCTTCATCTTATATTTATTGCTGCGATGTTTTACTTTATTTTATATATCAGTTGAGACTAATTAATGAATTTGACAAATTTACAAGTTTTAAATTTTTGATAATATTTGATATTTCGCCATATTTATAAATGTGTTATCAGTAGTCAATAACTACACAATAACTACACAATGTAATGTATTTGATTTCTGTTTGTGTGTACAACCACTCCCGTGCATAGTAAAGCAGGCGGAGACTTGCACGTGCACGTGTTAAGAATTTGGAGCTAAATTTCGATCATTTACTGTTGAGTTTAGAGTGTTCTACGAAATAATAGCATGTATCTTCGGTTGTGATTTAAATTTTATGATACGATAAAAATTGATTTCTAGCTTCCTCCCTGTGACAACGGATTTTCTAGTATGTCTTTAGAGTAAAATAAAGGTCGAGACATATTTATATGGTACGAAATTCGGGGATTTTTGGAAAAAATTGGAAAAAATCCCCATATTTTCGTACTGAATTTCTGAAATTTCGTACTGAATTACTGAATTTATGAAAAAAATCCCCATATTTTCGTTCCCCCATAATTTCGATCCCCGCTAATTATGATCCACATAAATATGTCTTGTAAGGTATGATTCACATTCGACACAAAAACCGAGAATGCACTCTGGCATTGTTCGTGCGCTGCTCGGGAGAGCACGTTTCCTTGATTTGTGTAGGGGATTTCACACTTGTATGAGTTCCCTGGTATTTGGAAAATTTTCAGGTGGTTTAATGGTTATATTAGTACTTGTCCCTAACAATTAGAAAAACCGAGTTTCGACATCTTGACCCACTCAGGCCACTCCCAGGGGCCACGCCCACCCCAAAATTACTGAAATCCAGGTCAAATCAAGAATGAGAATCTTTACCCTTGTATGGGTTTTATGTTCCGGGGTATTTGGAACATGTTTAGGATGTTTAATAGTTATTACCTGTCCCAAACCATCAGAAAGACCGAGTTTCGACATCTTGACTCACTCAGGCCACTCCCAGGGGACTCGCCCACCCCAAAATTACTGAAATCCAGGTCAAATCAAGAATGAGAATCTTCACCCCTGTAGGAGATTTATGTTCCGGGGTATTTGGAACATGATTTGGTGGTTAGATAGGAAGTACCTGACCCCAACAACCAGAGAAACTAATTTTCGACGTCTTGACCCACTCAGGCCACTCCCAGGGACAATTCGAAACTATTTTTAGGGGATTTGAAATCCGTGTCAAATCCCCTAAAAAATCCCCAACAAAATTCAGGGAAACGTCTTCTGCTACGTTACTCGGAATTGTAACGCGCAATTTAACAATTTGTAGACAAAGAAGCGCGCCGCGAACCACGCGGAATATCAATTGTCTCTTCAAATATTTCAAACTCTGTTGACAAAATAAATTGATTGTGACTGTAATAATGGATTAAAAATTACGGCATACAGCAAATCTTGTGTAAAAAAATGTGATAAACAATATGCTGTAAAAAAAATTCGTCAAAAACTTTAAGAACACGATGCCCCGCCCCATTTTTTAAATGGTCATTTTTGGAACTTTGACGGGCTATAACTTTCGCTAGGAACAGCCATTTGCCCAAAAATTGGTACCAAACGACTCTACTCAATGAGACCTTTCCAATGATGTATAATATGTTGGGTTTTGAGACATAAAATGTTCACCCGCAAGTTGATGCTCTTAGTACATACACTATATAGTGAAGCGACCGTGGGGCTCACCACGTGATACAACTCCAACCTAAAATGCTTACTTTTCGAGTTATTAATGGCTGATATAACCAGTTTTGCTCTATTTTGCTTGTATCACGTTGCGACCCCCACGGTCGTTTCACTATGTCACTTTATCGTCCTGACGATACGAGGGGAGCCGCGCACTTCGTGCGCGGTGGGTCATACAACGTATGACAATATTTTGCTTAGCTGTAGTGAACGGTGGATATTCACGTATTGAACGCACGTTTCAGTCATTTTGTATTGAACGTTATTCAACGACCAACGTCATGTGATTATCAAAAACCAAAATTCATGAAAATAAAATTTTTGAAATCTTAAAAACTTTTTTGTATTTAATTTTATGCTACTGCATACTGAATACTACTAGTAATTTATCCATAATGTTCAGAACGTGATATGAGTTTTAGTGCAGATCAGAACGCATATACAGAAAATGTTTAGTGAACGTTCCGTACGTGCACTACAACTAAGCTATTATGCGCAAAATCGTCGTTTGAATGTGGGACAATTTTGAAAAAAGTAACTGAGGTACTACTACTACTACTAGCAAAACTGCGCGCATCCTCTCAAATCACCTAATTTGTTCAATTTTAGGGAGGGGCGCCAAAAGGGGAGGGGCGCCTTTTCGGGGGGGGGGGGGGGGGGGGCGCGCGCCACTGGATCGGACAGTGATTCTTGTCCGAATCAGATGACCGATAAAAACCGAGCTGTTGTCCGAAATTGTAATCTGATCCGAATACGGCACATTTCCAATTTTAGATATAATCTGATATCTAGAGTCACTGTTCGACTAGAGGCGCCCATAAATCGGACGATATATATATAATGATCAAATTACCCATTGACAACGTTTTTTCATTGTTTTATTCTGATCTTCTTTAGTGGTCGTGTGGTTCTATTTACATGATGTTAACTTTTAAATATCAATTGTGAAGCAGTATATCATTGATGAAAAGTTAATACTTTCATGACTAAGGTTATATTTTCAATTTCTTTTTTGGGTCTGTGAGCGAACTTCACAACTTCGTTGTCTAGCTAGGGTAGATAGCCACACAGTATGAACTCTGCAAGATGCATGTGTTCTCATTTTGCTTTATCAATCAATAGACTACTATTTTATTTTTTATAATATTAATAACTATAAGCTTGCTGCATCTAATAATCACTTTACCTGGGGACCCCAGGCTATAATGTTCATAAACCGAATAGAGATTAGGCGGAATGACAGGCTGAGCGCCGCCCAGTAAATAATCACTTTACCGCTGTCAGTGTCACAAGGTCACTTACCCACGAATAACGGTGCATACTGCATATTTACAATTATCACAGCACGTCCACCAACTATCTATGATCTATAGTTCACAACACTTGTGGTGCCAGATATAATAGTTCCAGGAGAGCTCCCAGGATAGAGTTACAACTTCCAGCTCCAATTACTATACAGTCCATCTATGTAATTAAAATTATCGTTATGTTTCGTTTTGTGTCCATTGGTTGTCATGCCGCCGACGGTTGTATGGAGATTGGAGGGTTGTTCACGTTCATATACTTCAAGGCACTGATCGTGTTAGTTTGTAAGGTTTTTTAACTGGTATTCTGTATGCTTTGTGACAGGTGACGGTAGTGCTGTAGGAGCTACAGGGTTTTTTTATAGATAGATAAGAGGCCGTGTACATATTGGTAAGCACGTGGTAATCACTCTCTGGCCTTTATAAGACATCTGGCCCCCCTAAGTTTAAATACATAGTTTCAAAATTCCGGGAAATCGAGAGCGGGTCATCTGGAAAATTCTCACTCAAAACCCGGACGAATCTATCTAAGTGTTTGACCATTGTTAATGGTCTATCTAGTCTGGATGGATCTATCTAGTCTGGCCCGGCGCGCGCTACTTCGTACTCGTATAAGCACTTGCCATTTCGAGAAGAAAGCGGCGCGCGCTACTTCGAAGAAATTTTGACGAGTAAGAAAACTTCGCAGTATATTATTTCTTCTCGAAATAATATAGCCCGACCATTAACAATGGTCAGACCATTAACAATGGACAAGTTGAAACTTGAAACCCTAACCCTAACGAGAAATTAAACTAACTTCCTTATACGGTCATATCACGTGATCGAACCAGTTTTTCGCCAGTATCTCGTCAGGGAAGCATTTTAACCCTATGTCATGGGGGGTTATTCGGAATCAGCGCGAGCGTCCGAAAATACATCGATTGAAGTTGGTTTCAACTGTCGGGGGCCCTTTTAGAACAATATCGAAGATCGACTGTAGACTAGACTTAGAGTGATTTAGCACGCTCGAATACCTCCTGGAAAAACGAAATTGATTGAAGGGACAGGAAGTATTATAGTATTATATTTATAATATTATAATATTGTAATTTAACAAAGTTATTAAAATATAAGATTCCGACGCATTGTGTGTATAAGCTACTAACGTGATTCATTTGCATTCTATTTTGGGATTAACATTAGCGGTGCTTATCATTCTGAAACCTCCTCAGTGATTATTAATCTAAGACTAAAGGTTACCATTTTAGTTTAACTTACTATTTTCGGTATAATACGAATTACAGTTGCGATTCGATAGTTAACACTTTGATACACTAGTATATCTTAACCTTTGCAAGTTCCAACAGTATTTCCACTGAAATAAATGGGCTGCAGAGTGCAGTCAATTCATTTTATGTGACCTCTCTCGATGATGGCAAAAGAAACTGGGCCGGACGTAGCAGAGGATACATGTGCTCGTTTGTCAGAAACACGAGGAAATTTAGGACCGACTATTCATCAAGTTATTGAATGTAGACCACCCGAATGGATCCCCTTCATAGCAGTCGGTAAGTACGGACAAAGTTTGAATTACATAAAAAATATGAAGTATTTCAATGTTTAATTTAAGGACATAAATGGTTAATGATTCCCCCATTATAGCAGCAAGTCCCGCAGCACAGCAGCAGCATGTGCAGACACCACACTAACATGATTGATATGTAGTCTGATATCATATCTACTTAACCTCAGGGTTGGCAGGTTTACTGATAATTGTGATATTGACAATAAAAGGTTGCCGGCAGTTTTTTAGCGTCCTCTGGTCCCACCCCACCATTGTAAGCAAGACAAGGGGTGTCTTTCTCTACTACCTTCTGTACGGACTCGTTAACTTTCTCAGTGAGTATTTTTTGTAAAATCCGGATTGGAATATTATTTATGAGTCGCATAGTTGAAATGTTTTCTTGGGTTAATTTCTATTGATCCCGTTTGATGCGACAAGTATCTTCCCTGATAAGAGCCTTTTCCTTGTCGCATCAAACGGGATCAATAGAAATTTACCCAAGAAAACATGAGTACTGAATCTGAGGGATACTCACGGAAAGTTTTAAAGGAAAAGAAACTGGGACATGCAAAACATTTGTTGGTACTGCAAAATGTTCAACGTTATAAGGAAATGTAGAACCACGTGATGCCCACATAAGGTAGTAGTAGTAGTGAGGAGAAAAAACTGGGACATACATTTGTTGGTACTGCGAAATGCTCTATGATCAGGTTTTAACAGAGTACATTTCCTCAGAGATACTAAATCCGAATTCGCTGGAGGTGTATGATATTGTAGGGACCATACTTGAAGGGCTACTCGTATATTTCGTATACAGTCTCCTCTGGGATTATGCTGGTGAGGGTTGATCGATTTGTAGTGCATGTGTACTGTCGATAATTATATTTTATTCAATAATTGTCATTCAATTTTGAGTGAAAAAGTGACGAAAGAGGGAAAAATGGATAAGTATTGAAGGATGACGTCACATCACGTGACATGACGTCACATCACGTGGTATGACGTCATGTAATACATTCCATTCTCCCAGGCGGTTACGAGAATGTGTTACCCAGTGTTCTGGGAAGGTGTGACGTCACACCACGTGACATAACGTCACATCACGTGGTATGACGTCATGTGATACATTCCATTCTCCCAGGCGGTTACGAGAATGTGTTACCCAGTGTTCTGGGAAGGTGTGACGTCACACCACGTGACATGACGTCACATCACGTGGTATGACGTCATGTGATACATTCCATTCTCCCAGGCGGTTACGAGAATGTGTTACCCAGTGTTCTGGGAAGGTGTGACGTCACACCACGTGACATAACGTCACATCACGTGGTATGACGTCATGTGATACATTCCATTCTCCCAGGCGGTTACGTGAATGTGTTACCCAGTGTTCTGGGAAGGCAGATAACCATTAATGGACGCCCTATGTGCTGTCTCAAATGTACTCGTAAAGTTACTCTCAATTTTATTTGGTCAGTCAAAAGAAGATATTGAATATCTGATAAATAATTTACTGGAATAAAGAACTTAATTAATAAGTGATTAATCTTTCCCAGTTTTAAAATCAAAATCGAAAAAAATTGATGTCTGTTGCCATGTTAACACGACCAATATTTATAATAGTTCTTATTTGAAGCTGATCTCCATTGGAATCTTTTGGATCTTACTAGTTAAGTAACAATAGAATTTTCCAGGATCTACGAATGGTTAGTGATGCAATACCCTATTGTTCAGCTTTTACTAGGTGTTATAGAAACGAGCAGCTTTTTTGATGGGCATCAAGGAATAAGTAAAAAGGTCATTCGAGGTGAGTCAAAAAGAAATTAGTTTTTCAGTAAAGTGCCATTAAGGTCAAATATTTTAGTAGCAATCGCTCAGGTTATACAAATATAGTGTAAGACGTAAGTGTTACTGTGTTATAACGTTAGTGTACCAGTGTATTTCTTATAAGGTGGCTGCAAACTGTAACCCAAACTCTTCAGGATTGAGAGCCTTGTCCATGTTCGCGGCACTTTACGGGATTGGAGTGGTGCAGAAGCTGTGGAAAGGACAGAAAGGACTAGATCCAAAGATCCGCAAGAAAATTGCTCTTTTAAAACTAACCATTATTCTGGCTAGAGTGCAGGGATTCATTTTTACAATAACGGGGTTTTCCGTGGAACACATCGGGTAGGTGTCTATAAGGGGCCATCTACTTAGGACGTCCGCCAAAATCTCAGATTTTACTTTCAAGTTTCAACACTACTATATAACAAATAATTCGAGCCTGAAGATGGCGTTGACGCCTAAAATTTGCCTACATTCCTAACTTTCTGTTTCATTTGTCCTTGTCTCTTTCAACCGGATATTATCCAACTATCAGTAATTCGTGTAAAATCCGGATTGAAAGATTATTTATGAGTCGCATAGTTGAAAACGATGATGTCACATTGAAACGTTGAATAATTCCTTTCCTGATAAGAGCCTTTTCCTTGTCGCATCAAACGGGATCAATAGAAATTTACCCAAGAAAACATATCAATAATTGATTATCAGTAAAACTCTGCATTTCAGTGCGATGACGGGGTCCTACAGGGCGGCTACCTGGAATAGTTTTATAAAACTAGTGGAGTGTGTCTTCTTCTCCTTCTTCGCTAACCGACTATACACTCTAGAAGATATTACAGCTAGGGAGGAGGAGCAACAACTGTCCTCTGGCATTTCAGTTGACAAGGAAGATGATGTTGAGGATAGTAATGATGACGTCATCAAATGTACAGATAATCGGATAGGTGGTGGGATGAACGGTGAAGCAGATTTGGCCTTAGATATGAGCTATGATGTTACAGACGTTCAGTACAAAGATGAAAAGGAAACGCTTATCTCAGATTTAACAAAAAGTGGGTAAAAATGAAAGAAAATGCTTACCAGCGATCAGATTACGTTCTTTGTAGAACTCCATGGAAGAATTTCAAGAGCTGCTGGACACTGGACAGTCACTGACCGTCAGTGGTCTACATTCTATCCTGCCATTCGAGCATGTATAACATGTATAACATGTATAACATGTATAAGATGTGTTCATTTTAGTCGCTAATAATGATATTATTCATATTGAAGGATTTATAAGTGGTATGTTTACTTTTTAATTTTTAGTCGCATTCTAAAAGTTTCGTGTGTTAATAACCGTGTTGGTGATTGCTGGGCGAAATAATATATTTTATTCTGTAATACAAGTACGTACTGAGCAATGAGAATCAATATATTTGTAAAAAATCAAATTTAATTCTAATATCTGAGTATAAACTGAATAAT